TTTTGTTTTTGTTTTTGCTGCTACTGGACACTTGAATTTCTCCTACGGGGGATCAATTAAGTATCTATCTATCTATCTATCTAAAAAACACAAAACAACATATATAATCACAACAACCTGGTCGGACCAGGGCCTTTCTGAGTGGAGTTTGCATGTTCTCCCCGTGTCTGCGTAGGTTTCCTCCGGGTACTCCGGTTTCCCCTACCACTAAAAATATGTACAATAGGTCTGGCATACGCCTCCTGTACTGGCGACTTTGCTCCCATATCTGTGTGGAGTGAGAGGACAAATGCCCAAAAATAACAATTGTAAACCGCTTTGAGACTCAGATCTGCAATAAAAAGGTGGTATATAAATAAAGACGACTTACTTACTTACTTACAATAAGCCTCAATCCTCAGAGCAAACAGCTGTACCAGTGTCTCCGCAGATCTGGTACCGAGCTGTGAAAGCTTTAAAGTTTGGTAAAGAGCAGTTTGATAGCATTTCTTTTCCCATTCATTCTAAACCACTCCACTACTGTCTCTGTTTGTGACCTCTGGACTCCTGCCAAAGGGGGGCGCTGTGGAGCGGGACAGAGGCAGGGAGCAGAGCCAGCAAACAGGAGGTCTATAAGGGAAAGAGTGTAGGCGTGGAGCAGAGGGGGGACTGCGGATAAAAGCTTAGAATATAGACTCTACTCTGAGCTGTTTACTATACATGGGCTCAGATACTGTAAGGATGGCTACTACTAGACTACTACTACTTTTACTGCACTGTTAAATGTCTATTGTGTACTTAGTGTGTATAAAGTACAAATGTTCTTTTTAGCAACATACAGTGCCTCGCGAAAGTATTCGGCCCCCTTGAACCTTTCAACATTTCGCCACATTTCAGGCTTCAAACATAAAGATATAATAATTACATTTTTTTTCAAGAATCAACAACAAGTGGGACACAATCGTGAAGTGGAACGAAATTTATTGGATAATTTAAACTTTTTTAACAAATAAAAACTGAAAAGTGGGGCGTGCAATATTATTCGGCTCCCTTGCGCTAATACTTTGTAGCGCCACCTTTTGCTGCAATTACAGCTGCAAGTCGCTTGGGGTATGTCTCTATCAGTTTTGCACATTGAGAGACTGGAATTCTTGCCCATTCTTCCTTGCAAAACAGCTCGAGCTCAGTGAGGTTGGATGGAGAGCGTTTGTGAACAGCAGTCTTCATCTCTTTCCACAGATTCTCGATTGGATTCAGGTCTGGACTTTGACTTGGCCATTCTAACACCTGGATACGTCTATTTGTGAACCATTCCATTGTAGATTTGGCTTTATGTTTTGGATCATTGTCCTGTTGAAAGATACATCTCCGTCCCAGTCTCAGGTCTTTTGCAGACTCCAAAAGGTTTTCTTCCAGAATGGTCCTGTATTTGGCTCCATCCATCTTCCCATCAATTTTAGCCATCTTCCCTGTCCCTGCTGAAGAAAAGCAGGCCCAAACCATGATGCTGCCACCACCATGTTTGACAGTGGGGATGGTGTGTTCAGGGTGACGCCAAACATATCGTTTTGCATTGTGGCCAAAAAGTTCGATTTTGGTTTCATCTGACCAGAGCACCTTCTTCCACATGTTTGGTGTGTCTCCCAGGTGGCTTGTGGCAAACTTTAAACGAGACTTTTTATGGATATCTTTGAGAAATGGCTTTCTTCTTGCCACTCTTCCATAAAGGCCAGATTTGTGCAGTGCACGACTGATTGTTGTCCTATGAACAGACTCTCCCACCTCAGCTGTAGTTATCTGCAGTTCATCCAGAGTGATCATGGGCCTCTTGGCTGCATCTCTGATCAGTCTTCTCCTTGTTTGAGATGAAAGTTTGGAGGGACGGCCGGGTCTTGGTAGATTTGCAGTGGTCTGATACTCCTTCCATTTCAATATAATTGCTTGCACAGTGCTCCTTGAGATGTTTAAAGCTTGGGAAATCTTTTTGTATCCAAATCCGGCTTTAAACTTCTCCACAACAGTATCTCGGACCTGCCTGGTGTGTTCCTTTGTCTTCATGGTTCTCTCTGCGCTTTAAACAGAACCCTGAGACTATCAAAGAGCAGGTGCATTTATACGGAGACTTGATTACACACAGGTGCATTCTATTTATCATCCTCAGTCATTTAGGACAACATTGGATCATTCAAAGATCCTCACTGAACTTCTGGAGTGAGTTTGCTGCACTGAAAGTAAAGGGGCCGAATAATATTGCACGCCCCACTTTTCAGTTTTTTATTTGTTAAAAAAGTTTAAATTATCCAATAAATTTCATTCCACTTCACGATTGTGTCCCACTTGTTGTTGATTCATGACAAAAAATTACAATTTTATATCTTTATGTTTGAAGCCTGAAATGTGGCAAAATGTTGAAAGGTTCAAGGGGGACGAATACTTTCGCAAGGCACTGTATATGGGCATTGGTCAATTGTCCCCTATGGATTTGATGGCTCTATGTCTTTTTCATCAATGCATTTCTTGTGTTTGAACGGTTTAATTCTCTGATCTGTTGTTTGCGAATCGACAAGTTTGTAAAGTCCATCCATCCATCCTTCCATTTTCTTCCCCTTAATCCATTTCTGGGTCGGGGGGGTGGCCAGAGATGCCACCCAGCACACAGAGCACCAGCCCCTCACTGATCCTCTTGCAGGTGGTAGGTCCACAGGAGCGTTTGTAAAGTCCTCCGAGATAACTAATGTTGTGATTTAGGGCTATATAAAAATACATTGATTGAATTGAATGTTCCATCCATCCATCCATCCATTTTCTACCCTTTAATCCATTTCTGGGTCAGGGGGGTGGCAGTCAGAGATGCCACCCAAGTCTCATAGCACCAGCCCCTCACTGACCCTCTGCAGGTGGTGAGTCCACAGGAGGACGGCTGCTCTCTGAGTGTGCGCATAGCCTTGATCTTTCAGTGGGGGCTTTGGGCAAAGTGGGGTTAAGTGTCTTGCCCAAGGACACAACGACAGCAGTCATCAGTGGGAGTCGATGGAGAAGGTGCAGAGGTGGGAATTGAACCCACGACCTTCTGGCCTTAAGGCCAATGCTCTACCAACTGAGCTACTGTCGCCCCTTGAATGTTAAGAAGATGTTTTTCTCTCTTTGCTCTCTCTCTGGTCTGTCATTGCTCTCTCTTTGCTCTCTCATTCTGGTCTCTCTGGTCTCTCTAGTCTCTCTGTGGTCTCTCTCTGGTCTTGCTCTGGTCTCTCTCTCTGGTCTTTCTTTCTGGTCTCTCTGGTCTCCTTCTGATCTTTCTCTGGGGTCCATTTACTATCTCTCTGGTCTTTCTCTCTGGTCTCTCTCTCTGGTCTCTATCTGGTCCCTCCCTTTTTTGAACGTGTCCGCTTCTAAACGAGTTCGACTCCCTGCGGTCCCTAAAAGAATCGCTTTTATTTTTATCCCCCCGAACACCGAGACAACGGGGGGGTCCTGTAAGATTTTGCAACAATATCCCCACATTTGCTGCAGGACTGTTGAGCACTTTCCTCTCTTTTGCTGCAACACAACCCTGCATTACTCACATACACACACACACACACACACACACATACGTCCCAGTACACCACAGTTACAGTCACATATCCAGGATAACAGCACCAGTACGTTACATAACCTCACAGGCGTCTCTGGGGCTTTACACGCCGGGACCAACAAGGAAACGCCACCATAAGCTCCACATAATGCCCCAAAGAACTGATTATGAAATGAAAAAGGATTTGTCTGTCTCTCTCTCTCTAGCTATCTCTCTATCTCTCTCTCTTTATCTCTATCTCTATCTCCCTATCCCTCTCTCTTCCGGCGACACTAAACTATTGCCAAATCTGAGCTTGGAAGAGTGAGGGCCTCTTTGCAAAATCCTCCACTGCTCTTTTGGCGAATTAGTAAGAGCTGGGTTTACTTGTTTAGTTGGTTAATCGGTCATCAGGGCGACCACTATTAAAGCTGGGGTACCTACATTTCACAGCACAAACTATGGATGTCATCGAGCTTGTAGTTTCTCTCAGGAAAGTTTGGTTCTATCACACCTTTTACCGTCCATGTGTTTTTTGGCCTCTGTCACAGCTTTAGATCAGCTTTTCAGACAGAGAAGTGTCAAAGAGAGGACCGCCCTCAGTCAGCCAATCAGCTCTCAACCCAAAGAGTCAAATAGTGACTCACAGGGATCTTTCTGTATGTTGGGTTGTATGGGTTCTACCTTTGTTTTCACACAACATTGTACATACATACAACCTACATTATCTCAATTCAATGTATTTGTGTCTAGCCATAACAAAAGTTGTTGTTTCGCCAATAACAAATTAGAGAATCAAACAGTTCAAACGCTGGGAGCGGGACAACCACTGTCTATAAAGGTTAATAAATATCTTTAAACGTCTCAGATCATCACTGACCTTAGTCCTGCGGTCCCCAACCTGTGGCTGACCATGTCCTTTCAAGTAGTTCCCCAAAGGTTTCAAAAAAGGGATACCTGATGCAGAATCATTAATTTAGAGTCCTTTCATGTATTTGAACTTTAAATGTTTCTGTATTTTTACCAATGCTGGGAGATGAAGCTATAATCTCTCTATTTTCCTTGTTTTCCATGATTTGTATAATTATTATATTGTGTATAATTATCATTGCGTGTACTGCTACCTACTACAGCTGTCCATGAAATAAACTTAAGAACATTTTAAATTCCTCTTCAAAACCTCAAGTTGCAGTTATTGCCCTTTCAGAGTGGGGGCAAGCGCCAAGGAAGAAAGTGTATCGAAGCTACATATTTCTTTAATAACTACCGTGAAACGGATTAGCTCTCTGCCATTTCTCTTTTGCGAAAGTAGCTCTCCCATCAGATAGTTTGGAGACTCCTGCCCTAGACTCTACTGCATCGACAAGGAACAGCTAAAAATGTTATCACACCTTTTTGATACCCAAGGAAAGCCACATACATGTAATTATCTTCCTGTAGTAACTATTGTCCTTCTCTGTCTTTCCAGGCGATGTCAACATGGATGAAACCAGTTCTCACTCCATCCGGGAACATTCCTAACCATTCCATGTCCAAGTCAATCCCTCGAGAGACGTCTGCACATCTTCTGACTTAATGCCTTCAAAAAGTCTTAATCCAAGGAGCTCAAACAAGGACTAAACCCATCCCCACCGCAGTCCTCTTACCACAGCACGGATTTTTTACTTACAAAAAATCACGACTGGAGCGTGTTGTATGGGTGCCCAATCTGCAAATAAGACCTCGCGGAACCACTTTTTCCTAATCTCGCCTCTTCCAAGACTCCTTACGTTGCCTCTCCAATCATTCTCTGAAATTCTCGCTCATGGGAGTCACATAGAGGCCTCTGCTGTCCCGTCCGACCGACCAGGAGGGGGGTCCAGGGAGCCATGTCGTGGAAGAGGAACTACTTTGCGTCGGGCGGAGGTGGCGTGAGTGGTGCTTCGCCCATAGGAGGAGGAGGTGGAGGAGGTGGAGGGATACATGGACTGGTCACCCCACGGAACATGAACTCCATTGCCCCCAGCAAAGGGCTGAGCAACGAGCCGGGACAGAACAGCTGCTTTCTCAACAGCGCGTTACAAGTGAGTGCTGGTCTCTCTCTCTGGTTTCTCTCTGGTCGCTCTCTCTAGTTTCACTCTGGTCTCTCCCTCTGGTTTCTCTCTGGTCTCTCTCTCTGCTCTCTCTCTCTAGTTTCACTCTGCTTTCTCTCTCTGGTCTCTCTCTCTGGTTTCTCTCTGGTCTCTCTCTCTGGTCTCTCTCTCTGGTCTCTCTCTAGTTTCTCTCTGGTCTCTCTCTCTAGTTTCACTCTGCTTTCTCTCTCTGGTCTCTCACTCTGGTCTCTCTCTCTCTCTGTTCTTTCTGTTCTGTGACTTTAGAAGACACGTTCCTGTCTTCCCCATGTTGAGGAGCCGACACAGGTTCAAACAACACGCCATCCTTTTCCACTGCTGTCATGGGTCACTTTAAAAGATGTTTTATTATTACTATAAGATGTGTACGAATGGATGTTCTGTTGGTGCTGCAGGGGCATTTTGGCACAAATGAACTACTTGTTCTTGTTGTATAGAACCAGTCTTTTTTGAGATTTTAAGTTTTTTGCATCTTTGTTGCCGAGATACTTCTATCTCTAGTGTTGCATAAATATTTTGGCATCTGTCACATCTTGAAAACAGATTTTTCATTCAGAACGCTGGAAAAGAGAGGACCACCCTCACTCAGCCATTCAGCTCTCAGCCTAAAGTGTCAAATAGTGACTCACAGGGCTCACAGACACTCTCTGGTCTCTCTCTGGTTTCTCTCTCTGATCTTTCTAGAGAGAAAGATCAGAGAGAGAAAGAGACCTCAGAGAGAGAGAGACCTCCTCTTTCTGGTCTCTCTCTCTCTCGACTCTGAAGACAGCATGATGTGGTGTATTTGGTCACAACATGTTTCTTTAACTTTTACTGTCTAAAAGTAGTGACACATAAATGATGAGCAAACATAACATGGGAAAATGGCCGTAGTGGTCATAACCTGTGCTTGTGATTCTCTATTACACACATAGATATGGCTTCTTACATAATCTTTGATCTCCCCTTGTTTCTATACGATCTATAGAGTTGCTTACACTGCGTTGCACTGCCGTATCCCCCCTCCCCTTTCTCTTTCTGAACTGGCACAAAAACAACTCTCTCACACACACACTCTCTCACACACACACACAGTTAGCGCTCTCTTTGTATCTGCTACCTCCAAACCTATAGCAGCAGCAAAACCCAGGGATGAACTAACGCTAACGCTAAGACCACCAGACTGAGGATGAGAAGCGTGCAGTATGACAAGAACCAGGACTCCTCCAAACGCGTTGAGAAATACACAGGGAATCCTAAGGTAAGAGTGTTGCGGCCGACGTGTGTTCGATATGTATTGGGACAGAGTGAAGGACGCAAGGCTGGTTTATTGAGAAAGAGAGAAAAAAATGGCTGAATGAAAGAAGAAGGTGTTTGAATGGAGGAAGGTGGGAAATGGGCCACTTTCAAGGGCACATATATGTCCCAACACCGACGGGAGAGGAGGAGGTGGAGGAGGCTTGAAGGGCTGTTTAGTGGAGCTTCTAGGAGTTTTGGACTGAGAAAACTGAGGCAGAACATGCTTGTGGGTGTAAAGCAAGGTGAGGGAAGTTTATTTGTATAGCGCAGTTCATACACAAGTCAAGTCAAAGTGCTCAAGAAAACAAGATAGAAATAATTGTTGAAATAAGGCTTTGAAAATATATGATATTATCACAATGCATTACAAAGAGCGAAGATACAATCCCTCGGTTGTATGCACAGCTAAACCGAACTGCTTTTGACCTGGAGTAGAAGCCTGTCTCGCATTTTCAGGAAGACTGTTCCAGATTTGTGCTGCATGAATCTGAAACGCTGAAAAATGGTTAGTCCTGACCCTGAGCACGGACAGTTGGTTCATATGGCGATGATGTAGTGTGATAATTACTAGAAAACTAAGGGTAAAGCTGGGATACGCCAATGTAAGAGAAAAAGAGAGGACCACCCTCACTCAGCCAATCAGCTCTCAGCGTCAGTCAGTGTCGGTTCGTGGGGGGTTTAAACTTTCATGTATTGAATGCCGGGAATCTTTTGATGCAAATTCAAATATTTTGTTTTGTGGATTATTTCCGATTGTCAAGTTATCTGGACTTTTCCGCGTCGTGACTTTCATATACCCTCCAGAACTCAATCCCGATGCCAGATTGTAATCTCAGGGCAGTCACAGAGAATCACAGAAATTGGACGATGACCTCTGGATCGGAGTCAAAACGTCTTAGCAGGAAACTTTGTCCAGATGACATACACTTCAAAATTAGATTGTCCCTGGAAAATGTAGATTAATTGTTTAACCATGTTCCAACATCGCTCCCTCATTAAAACAGACCTGGAGATGTATTTACCCCCCCCACGCTAATATCACAATCTTCAGTCTCAAACTTGTCCCCCCGCCCCTTCTGTCTAACATTACGCTAACATTACGATCTTTACAACTGTGTAGCTGTGTATTTAGTGGTATAGGCTGAGACATACTGTATATGTTTATCCAGATTTTTTTTATACTTACAAATATTCCACACTTTAAAATATGGAATGCCAAAACTATTGCATCGTATTTATTTATTTATTTTCATTTTAATTATACTTTTTGAGCTGTAACCAATGTGCTGTGAATAGAAGTTAGTTCGTTACACTGTGTTTCCAAACTCCCGTGGGGGATTTTGCAAGTGAATTTTCTGTCCGGAACCAGATCGGACCGCCATTTCGCAGCGTCATAGTCCCCCGACAGTGAGGTTTGGTGCATGTGTAGGGTCTACAGTATCTGTGTTATTTAACAGAGCCGCGAAATGAATTGGCAACACTCAGACCATACATCCAGGACTCTTAAACCTGTTCTGTCGGTGGGAATGCATATCTCACTCAGTATGGGACTTTTTTTCCTGCTGGGTTTTTGTGTTGTTCCTTGCAGATGCAGGAACTGTTTTATTCTCTGATCGGTTGTTCACGAACCAACAACTTTGTATAGTCCTCCGAGGCAACAGCCGCTGTGATATAGGGCGATACAGAAATACATTTAATTGAATAGATAAATAGATAGATGGATACTTTATTGATCCCCTGAATATGCTAGAATTAAGTTAGATATTTTATGCTTGCTTCAATATTAGGCTAAAGTTAGAGATTTTATTTTGGTATTTCTTTTAAAGTTATTGTTCATTTATCTTGTGCTGTGTGCTCCTCATTCCTACTGTCCTGTAACTGGTTGTGCAGCACTGAAATTCCCCCCCTGTTGGTGGACAAATAAAGAATCTCAATATTTTTCTTGGATTGGACGTACTACAGATCACATACTGTACATCGTCCTTTAAAACCACGTCACGGTCCTTTTAAAATACATTTAGCTGCTCAAACACTAACTATATTTTTTATTAGCGAGCTTAAATGATCCTCTCCCAGTCCCAGAAGAAGCCTTTGAGCAAGACACTTAGCCCCCCGCCGCCGCCGCTGTCCTGTGGTTATGTAGATGTAGGTTTTAATGAGGCGATATACGGTGAAGAAGTGTGAGCTCAGCATCTCCAGACCGCGTAAACAAAAGTAAAAATAAAGTAGTTAAAGAGCTGCGGGGAGCTCACTGCATTGATGAACTTCTAATTAGGAAAAAAAGTGTTGGAGTTCTGTGTGAATAACTTAATGTAAATGCAGCTAATTTTGTTGTCGTGGAAACGGTGGGAGGCCGACGACAGACCTGTGCTGTACAGTGCCACAGACAAATCATTAGGATCTGTTTCTGTGAATGTGTCTCTATGTTTTTGAAATGCAAAGTAGATCTGTTATGGCGTTTGTAATAAGGCTACAATGTTGTCAAAATATCCATTTCCACCAGTCCTCCTTGACTTTGCTCTACTCTATTCTACTCTACTTTACTCTTCTCCACTTGGCTCTACTCTACTCTACGCCACTTTGCTCTGTTCTACTCTACTCTTCTCCACTTGGCTCTACTCCACTCTACTTTACTCTACTCCACTCTATACTACGCCACTTGGCTCTAGTCTACTCTAGTCTACTCCACTCGGCTCTACTCTTACCGGGTTGTTTCCATTACGCTATAGTGTCCGGTATCGTATCCTAGCAACATACCCACAACAAACCAGTATCCCTGGATATTCCTCGATAACCATGGCTTCCAGAAGCACTCTGGCCAATCACTGCCAGTTAGACCACTTCAGTACCAGCTCGGCCTGGATAGAACCAGGAACAACTAAAGTACTGGTTAAAGTAGAATAGAGTAGAGAAGAGTAGTCACAGGCCCAAAACTCTCTCTGACCCTACACCTCTCTCCCACTATACTTACGGTACTCTGTGCTGAGGCTATTACTCTCTGAAAAGCCATTATTTTCCTGAAAACCACAGCCTTCCCAAAAACAAAAACTGTAATTTTGGGGAAAGTAGAAAAGAGTTATAACCTTTCTGAACTTTGCTAAAAATCCACCATCTGTGTTTGAGTCACTAACAAATGCACAAACCCTGGTGATTGTAATAATTATGATACATATGACTGATATAACAGAAATCAGCTGTCCAGGTTTCATTTTGAGCTCTTCAAACTTGTTATTTTGTAATGTATTTTTTTCCAAACAGCGGTGCACACAAACAAACACGTCCTCCTTTCCTGCTGGAAGATTATCTCGTTGTAAAGCGTGGTGTTTATGATCTATATTTAACTTGACTTTATCCCATATAGTTCTAATCACAAAGCTCTTTCATTGTCGTGGGAGTGGATTAGGTTGTAAAAATAGATTCAGTGGGGCTGGTTGGATATAGGGTCAGACAATGGTACTATAAATATCTCTACCCCATATACAACCCAAGGCGTCAGACATGCCCTGGTTTCCCCCTCCCCAGACGCCTCCTCTCCTCGGGGGCGCCCCAGGGCAGACCCAGGGCCTCCTCCAGTGGGACGCGCCAACATGTCAACATGGGATACTCATAGAAATATATCAACCTTGCCTGGATTCTGTTTTAAGTGTAGAAAACTAGACTTAATAATTGTATACTGGATGCTAGTGATCTGAGATGCTTAAGCTAGTAATAGTAATGTATGTGTAGATAATCTAAGTGACTGTCTTGTTTGTGGTCGCAATTAACAAACAACAAAGATTTCGATCACCTAAATGGCCCTACCTGCAGGTGAAAGCCAGATCCTGCCAGACCTCTGAAGCTAAGCAGGGCAGGGCTTGGTTAATAGTGTGATGGGACACCTCTGGGAACACCAGGTGGCACAGTGGGGCGGCTGCGGCTGTTGTTGTTGTTGTGTCCTTAGGCAAGACACTTCACCCACATCTCATTCGCCTAGAATGAGACTGGTGTGTGTGAGTAGTTGGTGGAGGTGGGAGGGGCCGATGGCACAGACTGGTTGCCTCGCTTTTGTCAGTGTGCCCCAGGGCAGCTGTGGCTATAGTAGTAGTTTGTATGGGGTGAAAGAAAAATGACATGTGGAACGTCTTTCAAAGGCCAAAAAACAATAATCGTCAAAAAACAATGAAACAAAATGATGGAATGCCACTTTCAGCAACAAATTTTATGCTTATTAAAAAAAGAAAACTAGAAAACATAAACATTTAGGAGGCCTTCACATTTGCAGACACAGACCACATTATGACAAACAGTTCAAACTAAAACATGACCTTAAAAACTCCGGGTCTTTTCTTGATGAGGGAATAATGTACATGTAATACACACAAGCCCAAAGCAGACACATTTGCATGATATTTTCCATTGTTTTTGGTCATTATTGCGTTTTACAAGTATAATCATCCCTGTTTACTTCTCCTAATCTATCATCTACCTGTAACATTGAAAATCTGAACCCTACAGTAAATGTGTGTGTTTTTCTTCACTAATTTAATGCGTAATTGTGTGTTATTGAGTTGGAGTGAGCAGTGTATGTGGCGTGTGTGTGTGCGTGTGTGTGTATTTGTGTGTGTGTGTGTGGTCGGCTCCAGCTCTCTTTGGGGCCGGTCTTGTGTCAATATTATCTTTCAGCTCTGACAGTGAATGCAAGAACAGCTCTTTTCTCTAATTATGCCACGGACGGACCCAGAGGACAGGGAGGCTTCGTAATAGGCCCATTCACGTCTAACGGTTTATATCCCCTGCATTTGTTGGTTTGTCAGAATGGGCTTTATTATTGTTTATTTGGACTGCAGTCAGCGATGGGAACCAGCGATTTGGAAAGTCAATGAGGGCAACTTCAAATACGTGTGTTGGTGTCGGGTAAAAGTAACATTTTGTGAACAAGTCAGACCATGACTTGATGTCTTGTAGTGGTGGGTATTTGCAAAAATGTGACGATTCAATAGTATTGCAATGATTGTGATTCTTAACATCGTCACAGCCACTTAGAGTCTGTGATGTATTGCAATTCTGGAAACTCTGCAATACTTTATACTCTTCAGTATCTATTTTATTGCAGCATGCGCAGTGATGCGGTCGCTGTATCAGACTGTTGTGGTGATTCACCGGTCAATCTTCGTTCCCTCCCTCACCTCATGAACTTTGGGTAATGACCGAAAGAACGAGATCGCGGATACAAGCGATCGAAATGAGCTTCCTCCGCAGAGTGGCTGGGCGCTCCCTTAGAGATAGGGTGAGGAGCTCAGTCACATGGGAGGATGTCAGAGTAGAGCCGCTGCTCCTCCACGTCGAGAGGAACCAGTTGAGGTGGCTCGGGCAGAGGAGGTCCCGGGGAAGACCCAGGATTCGTTGGAGGGACTATCTCTCTCAGCTGGCCTGGGAACGCCTTGGGGTCCCCCCGGATGAGCTGGAGGAAGTGTGTGTGGATAGGGAAGTCTGGGTGTCTCTGCTTAGACTGCTGCCCCCTCGACTTTGCTGCTGTCATTGCTGGAGCAGCGGACCGCACCGAGGACAACAAGATTCAGCGTAAAACTTGAGAATCTTTAACTGGTGGATTTAAAAAAAATAATTTTGTATCAATGGTCGCGTGGGTGAGTCAACATCAAAAGACAACCTGATCTTCAACCTCGAACATCAGATTGAAAGTGGTTTGAGAAAGGTCTAGTCCGAGCCGTTGCCCTGTTAGTTCTTGCATGTGGCTCTTTTGCACAGAGACATAGTTCTTGCTATGCTAACATACATAGCAGGAATAAAGGCTTCATTCATGGTTTCTTCTTCCTCTTGTGATGTCACTGTCCTGTTTCTAAAGTGTCTGTGTCTGTGGTCAGGTTTTGTGGCACCTGGACATCTTCAGGAGGAGTTTCCGACAGCTGACCACTCACAAGTGCATGGAGGACTCCTGCATCTTCTGCGCCCTCAAGGTACAAACATACTACATACTTATATTCCAATCAATTTAATCATAGTAACAGTATAAATAGAAACTTTTCACACATACTTATTCATGGGACTTCAGTTTGGCAGTTGTGACCTGAATATTTGTATTAGTTTTGATGTCCTTATGTGATTTAAGGAACATATACAATGGATTTGTCGCATATACCTGTTCTTGACATAATTCACATTGGCTCTTCATGTTACATTGTGAACTAATTTTGTTAAAGCTCGGTTACGTAACTTTCAAACCACAAAATTAACTCTGTAATAGAACCCATCTAACTACAGTAGGCCCTCATTCCTAAAAATAATTTGGTTCTATCACTAGTTTTCACATCCATGCAGTTTTGGCTTCTGTCAGCTCCTTCTCTCAATAAGGGCCTCCCCAAGGTTTCCCCTCTGGTTCCTTGTTGACATTTAAGGACATTTATTAACCTTTCTGGACATTGTACATCCCACTCTCTATGAACCAACGTCTCCTAAGTGTTTGGGGATCATTCCATTTCCTGTGTTTGATTCTCTGATCTGTTGTTTATCAATCGACAACTCAGTAAAGTCCTCTGAGACGGCCGCTGTTGTGATTTAGGGCTTGTACAAAAATACAGTGACATTGAAATCCCCCAGCCCAAAGTGTGAAATAGTGACTCACGCATGGCTCTATTCTAACTTGGGTTGGGTTCAAGTACCTTAAGTATAATTAAAACATGACTTAAATAATGATTGAAGTTGTGAAAAACATATATAAAAAAACAGGTAAAAATATATTGTTCTTGTTTGAACTAGCGACAAGTCACTAAATCCAAAAATGCCTCTTTGCTGCATAGAGGCGAGTGGTTTTTTGTATTTTGTTGAAAAGGGGAATTGCAGAGGGAGCCCAGAGCTTTGTGACATTTAATTGACATTTAATCAAGACGTGGTGCAGCAACATAATCCATCTGGAGCAGAAATCTGACTGGAACCGAATACTTCTGCATTCACTGGTATTACGGGGGATTTAACCCAGTTTGTACAGGACTAGAGCCTGAGCTGCAGGTTCACTGTTTGCAGGTTCACTAACAAGTGAATGGACTGGTTTAAACACCTGGACTCCCAGAACTAAGGTCAATTTTATCCCAAAGTAAATTCAAATCGATGGAATTCAGAACAGCATCTCCCAAAAAGTTTCCAAGTTTTTTTTTAACCTTTACCCACTTTTAATACGTGCTGAAACTGGTGAGTATAACATGAAATACAGCAAAAAACAGTTGGTTGAAAGGCTAAATGCTAACTGCTGCAAGTAAACAGTGTGTTGCTATGGTAACTAGCTCCTGCTCTGCCCTGGTGGAAAACCAAGCTGAACCAGAACAAGTCCAGTGCCAGTCCAGGGTCAGTCGGGACCAACACCTTACATGTAGCTTGGTTTAGCACACAGTCACACACACACACGTGCAAAGAGACACACACGCACAGACGCGCACACACACGCACACACGTGCACAGAGACACACATGCGCAGACACAGACATGTACACATACTCTCATACGCACACATATAGTCACACACACACAGACACGCAGACACACACACATGCACACAGACACACACGGACTGTTGAAATGTGGTTAAAAACAAAAAAAGCTGATTTTGCAGAATATTTCTCCTTTTAAATAATGGGTTACACACAATCGCCTATAAATATATACACAGCTGTGATTCTGCTTCTACAACAACAGTCTGCTCTTTCTTCACCTCCTGTTTTTATGAACAAAATTTTACACAACTTTTGTATAAAGCTGAGAAACAAGAGCAAAATATGACTATCATTTTCAGCAATGACGACTTCTGGTAACAAACTGTGTCTATGTGGGGTCTACAGTGCGTGTGCGTGTGTTGCTTGGTCTTGTCTGTAATTAATTGTGCGACAGAAAAAGCTGAGGCAGCAGGAGCCCGCACTGAGAGAGTTGATGATACAGTGTTGCATGTGTGTACCCTTTGGAACGGATCATTCAAATACATGATCAGAGCAGTGGGGGGAGAGGTGTAGGGTCAGAGAGTGTTTGGACCTGTGTCTTCTATGTGTGCGGGTTATCTTTTACCCTATGATATTGTATTGTGTTACTGTTTGTGTGTCTGTTCCTATGTGTGTGGGTCTGTGTGTGATCCTACCCAAAAGTTGTTTAGAAACACCTTCAGAACAGTGAATTTTAGCGACAAATAAAAGCAAAACAAAAGCAAAACTACTAGACAGATTCAGGGATCACACGGACGGTTATGAAGCAGAGTCCAACCATTTTAGACAATTCTCGCCACTTTGAGATTCTTTAAAGAGACGGAAAGAGATAGAGAAAAAGCAGCTGTCACCAGAGTTCTGTGTCTGTGTGTGTGTGTGTGTGTCTGTGTGTGTGTGTCGGTGTGTGTGTGTGTGTGTGTGTGATGCTGTGGGCGATCCAATCAAAGCCCTGTGGATGTGGAGCCTCATATTCTCCTGTCAGCTCACATTTAGGCTCCTGTCGCCCACAACCAACTGTTTGGGGCCAGAGTCTGTCAGTGCTGGAACAGAGCGAGACAAGAGCGAGAGGACAGAGCGAGAGGACAGAGAGAAGACAGCGAGAGAGGACAGTGAGAAAACAGAGCGAGAGGACAGAGTGAGAGGACAGAGTGAGAGGGACAGAGCGAGAGGGACAGAGCGAGAGGGACAGAGCGAGAGGACAGAGCGAGAGGGACAGAGCGAGAGGACAGAGTGAGAGGACAGAGCGAGAGGACAGAGCGAGAGGGACAGAGCGAGAGGACAGAGTGAGAGAGGACAGAGCGAGAGGACAGAGCGAGAGGGACAGAGCGAGAGGACAGAGCGAGAGGACAGAGCGAGAGGGACAGAGCGAGAGGACAGAGTGAGAGGACAGAGCGAGAGGACAGAGCGAGAGGGACAGAGCGAGAGGACAGAGCGAGAGGGACAGAGCGAGAGGGACAGAGCGAGAGGGACAGAGCGAGAGGACAGAGTGAGAGGGACAGAGCGAGAGGGACAGAGCGAGAGGACAGAGCGAGAGGACAGAGCGAGAGGACAGAGCGAGAGGACAGAGCGAGAGGGACAGAGCGAGAGGGACAGAGCAAGAGGGACAGAGCGAGAGGACAGAGCGAGAGGACAGAGCGAGAGGACAGAGCGAGAGGACAGAGCGAGAGGGACAGAGCGAGAGGGACAGAGCGAGAGGGACAGAGCGAGAGGACAGAGCGAGAGGGACAGAGCGAGAGGACAGAGCGAGAGGGACAGAGCGAGAGGGACAGAGCGAGAGGACAGAGCGAGAGGACAGAGCGAGAGGACAGAGCGAGAGGGACAGAGCGAGAGGACAGAGCGAGAGGACAGAGCGAGAGGACAGAGCGAGAGGGACAGAGCGAGAGGGACAGAGCGAGAGGGACAGAGCGAGAGGGACAGAGCGAGAGGACAGAGCGAGAGGGACAGAGCGAGAGGACAGAGCGAGAGGACAGAGCGAGAGGGACAGAGCGAGAGGACAGAGCGAGAGGGACAGAGCGAGAGGGACAGAGCGAGAGGACAGAGCGAGAGGGACAGAGCGAGAGGACAGAGCGAGAGGGACAGAGCGAGATCATAGAGTAAGAGGACAGAGCGAGTGGGACAGAGCGAGTGGGACAGAGCGAGAGGGACAGAGTGAGAGGACAGAGCGAGAGGGACAGAGCGAGAGGGACAGAGCGAGAAGGCAGAGCGAGAGGGACAGAGCGAGAGGGACAAAGCGAGATCATAGAGTAAGAGGACAGAGCGAGAGGGACAGAGCGAGAGGGACAGAGCGAGATCATAGAGTAAGAGGACAGAGCGAGAGGGACAGAGCGAGAGGGACAGAGCGAGAGGACAGAGCGAGAGGGACAGAGCGAGATCATAGAGTAAGAGGACAGAGCGAGAGGACAGAGTTTTGTGTTTGTGTAAAAGAAATCTTTGTTTGTGTAAATAGATTTGTATTTACGTATCAAGATTTGTGTGTGTGTAAAAAGATTTGTGTGTGTGTAGAAAGATTTGTGTGCGTGTAAAAAAAAAATTACGTTTTACGCATTTGTTTTTTTTTACACACAAATCTTTTGACGCAGTCCTGCCTTCGCAGATTCGCAAGTGTAACTTGGACTGTGTGCGTGCGTAAACAGATTTGTGTGTGTGTAATTTGACATTTGTATCTGTAACAAAACAATCTGTGTGTAAATAACCACGTTGTACGAAGAGAAGAACGGCTCTGTTTTACACACAAATCTCTTTTTGACACACCTTTGCCGCCAAGCGTGTGTCAAAAAGATTTGTAAGTGTATAGTGGTTTTTCTAGCAGTACACCAGCAGATGGTGCTGTTGTAGCTGGTTATACGTAAGCAAACCAGCAGAGTTTGTGGCACTTAAGTGTATATTTAAAGAAAACTAAGGATTTAAGAAGAGGATAAGTTCAGGATGACAAGGGACACTAAAATTCCCACAAAATCCAACCTTTATGAAAGCTGTAGGTTCTCTGTCAGCTGTTTTAGTTTAAATTGAGTTCTATGGGGAAAATTTCTGTGTAGCCCACGTAAATTTAGTCTGCAGTACGAGAATCCTTCAGCTCCAAGCTAGTAACACCCTATCCAGTTATTATAATAGATCCATGTATTATACAGTGGTGTGAATGACAGGATTTTGACTATAAAAAAATCATAAACTGCTGCGGTAGTGTGTCCTGTCAAGGCAGTAGGTTTTGGTTTGCTTGCCTGTAGGTAATAACCAGCTACAACAGCACCATCTGCTGGTGTACTGCTAGAACAACCACATTACACTTACGAATCTTTTTGACACACACTTGGCGGCAGAGGTGTGTCCAAAAGAGATTTGTGTGTAAAACAGAGCCTGTGCGTAGCACTTAGGCTTTTGTCCGTTCTTCTCTTCGTACAACGTGGTTATTTACACACAGATTGTTCTGTTACAGATACAAATGTCAAATTACACACACACAAATCTGTTTACGCACACACACAGTCCAAGTTACACTTGCGAATCTGCGAAGGCAGGACTGCGTCAAAAGATTCATGTGTAAAAGAAAAAAACGTGTGCGTAAAACGTACTTTTTTTTTTTTACACACACACAAATCTTTCTACGCACACACAAATATTTTTACGCACACACAAATCTGTTTACGCACACACAAATATTTTTGAAACAATAATAGCTCCATATTTGTGGATGTAACTTTCTCTCGCCTCTATCCCTTCTCATCTCTCTCTTCTCTCTCTCCTCTCTCTCCTCTCTCTCCTCTCTCTCCTCCCTCTCCTCCCTCTCCTCTCTCTCCTCTCTCTCCTTCTCTCTCTCCTCCCTCTCCTCAAGGCAAGGCAAGGCAAGTTTATTTATATAGCACAATTCATGCACAAGGCAATTCAAAGTGCTGAACAAAACAAGAAAGCATTAAAATCATAAATTATCACAGAACATTAAAAAGAAAGATAAAAATATAAAATCCCTCAGTTGTATGCACAGTTAAACAGAACTGTCTTTAACCTGGTTTTAAACATTGTCAGAGAGGAGGCCTGTCTCACATCTTCAGTTCCAGATTTTAGCAGCATGAATCTGAAAAGCAGCCTCCCCATGTTTAGTTCTGACTCTGGGCACTAACAGGAGTCCAGTCCCTGTGCTCCTCAGAGTCCGGGCTGGTTCATATGGGACTAACATGTCACTAATATATTTTGGTGCGAGGCTATGGAGAGACTTGTACACAAGCAGAGCTGTTTTAAAGTCTATTCTCTGAGCCACAGGAAGCCAGTGCAGAGACCTGAGGACTGGACTAATGTGGTCGTACTTCCTGGTTCTAATCAGGACTCGAGCTGCAGCATTTTGAATGTACTGCAGCTGTTTTACAGCCTGTTTGGACAGACCTGTGAGCAGGCCATTGCAGTAGTCTAACCTACTGGAGACAAATGCATGGATAAGAATCTCCAAGTCTGCTTTAGACACTATGTTTTTGATCCTGGCAATGTTTTTTAGATGGTAAAAAGCTGCTGATGTTACTGATTTGATGTGGCTATTAAAATTTAAGTCTGAGTCCAGTATTACCCCTAGATTTCTGACCTTGTTTGAAGGTTTTAGGGAGAGAGACTGTAGGTGACAGATGACGCTCTCTTTGTTTCTGGGGACCAAAGACAATCATTTCAGTTTTGTCTGCGTTTAGCTGAAGGAAGTTGTTTTGCATCCACTCACTGATCTGTTGGATACAGTGAAGGAGTGAGTCCACTGGTCCATGTTCTCCTGCAGTCAGTGAGACATAGATCTGAGTGTCGTCTGCATAGTTATGATAGGAAACTTTGTTTCTGCGTATTAACTGACCTAACGGCAGCATGTAGAGATTGAACAGAAGAGGTCCCAGGATCGACCCCTGTGGGACTCCACAGGTCAGGGCCATATGATCTGAGACACAGTTTCCAATCTCCACAAAGTACTTCCTGTCTTCAAGGTAAGACCTAAACCAACTTAGGGCGGTGCCAGTGACGCCAACCCAGTCCTCTAGTCTCTGTAAGAGGATCTCATGGTCGACGGTGTCAAAGGCAGCACTTGGATCTAACAAGATTAAGATTGAGACTTTGCCTGCGTCAGTGTTCAGCCGGATATCGTTTGTAACCTTAACGAGAGCAGTCTCAGTGCTGTGGTGGGGTCTAAAGCCGGACTGAAACATATCAAATGAGTTGTTGATTATAAGAAATCTAGTAAGCTGTAGGTAGACAACTTTCTCAAGGACTTTCCCCATAAATGGCAGATTTGAGATGGGACGATAGTTGTTAAGTACCGTAGCATCGAGACTGCTCTTTTTTAGCAGGGGCCTGATGACTGCAGTTTTCAGGGCCTTTGGGAATATTCCAGAATGAAGGGACATGTTTACTATCTGTGTGAGTGAAGGTAACAGACTGCTCAGAACAGACTTCAGAAATCTAGTGGGTAGTACATCCAAGCTGCATGTGGAGGAGCTCAAACTGGAGATTATCTCTTGGACAGTTTTATCATTTACAGGTGCAAAGTGAGTTAGCTCAGAGAGCCTTTCTGGCTGTTGGATGGTTATCTGTGGATTGGAGACAATGGCGCTTTTGATGCCTTGAACCTTGTCATTGAAAAAATTAGCAAACTCATTGCATTTACGTTTGGAAGTAAGCTCTAATGGCATTTGAACAGGGGGGTTTGTTAATCTATTAACTGTTGAGAACAGAACACGCAGATTGTTGCTGCAGCCTTCAATCATTTCAGACAAATACCTTTCTCTCGTACTACGTAGCACCCGGTTAAACTCGCACAACTTATCTTTGAAGATCTCGTAATCTACCTGGAGGTTGGACTTGCGCCACTTCCGCTCGGCCTTCCGGCACTTTCTCTTTTGTGCCCTGACCGAGTCTGCTTTAGCCCACGGCGCCTTCTGCTTATTTTTCACTATTTTAACCTTCACAGGGGCAACGGTATCCAGAACATTCAAAACACTAGAGGTGACAGAGTTAAACAGTTCCTCTACAGTAGAATACGATGCATTCTCAAAGTTTATCATTCCCTCTCCTCTCTCTCCTCTCTCTCCTTCTCCTCCCTCTCCTCTCTCCCCTCTCTCTCCTTCCTCTCCTCCCTCTCCTCTCTCTCCTTCCTCTCCTCCCTCTCCTCTCTCTCCTCTCTCTCCTCTCTCTCCTCTCTCTCCTTCCTCTCCTCCCTCTCCTCTCTCTCCTTCCTCTCCTCCCTCTCCTCTCTCTCCTCTCTCTCCTCCCTCTCCTCTTCCTTCTTCCGTCCCCTCTCCCCATCATCCTTATTTTATTCAAATATACCTTAGACATTTCCGTACCGTCAATTTCTCCATCTGCAATTGGTCAGGCCCAGCAGACTGTGATGGGAGACCTCTGGGAACACCAGGTGCCACAGTAACACAACTGCGGCTGTAAAGTGTCCTTAGGCAAGACACTTCACCTGCATTAGTATGGGTCTGATGTGTGCGCGATGGTTGGTCGATGGCACGGACTGTTCGTCTCGCTTCTATCAGTGTGCCCCAGGGCAATTGTGGCTACAATAGTAGTTTATCACCACAGTGTTTTGAGGAATAGACCCCATTGTACAGTTCAGTGGCACTCAGGATTTCAGTCCAGAAGGCACTGGTATGGCTGTCTTGTAAACTGTTTGTTAATTATTGTCTTGTGTATTTGTCTGCTTTGGACTGAGAGGGTGTAATGAAGTTGAATTGAATTGAATTGAACATTTATACATGTATTTTAAGCATGATGAAGACTCAAAGTCATCATCAAAGTCAAGACCGTTCATCTGTGCGTTCATTTTAAAGGAATAATCAACTAGAACTATGACCTGGTGGTATTCCTGTGCACATACAAACACAAGCACAGGGTATACCTCTCTCTTTGGGGTATCCCCCTTCTCTTTCCCACTCTGTCTCCTCTCACGCCCCCTTTCTCTCCTCTCTCACCTACCCTCTCTCCCTGATATCTCCCTCCTGCCTCTACCCCTTCTCCCCACTCTCCTCTCCCCTCCCCTCTTTCCTCTCTCTCCTTCTCTCCCTACTCAGACCCCCCCCTGCCTCTCCTCCTCTCTCTCCCTCCTCTCCTCTCCTCTCCTCTCTCTCTCTCTCCTCTCCTCTCTCTCCCCCTCTCCCCTCTCCTTGGTGCATTGCTGCAGAGTGGTGGAGCTCCCACTGTCAGCAGTCTGCATTGTACCTGTCCCAGTGCCAGCTCTTACAGCTCTGAGCTCTGAGCTAAGAGCACAGTGTTGGAGCAGATCAGAACACTGCTGATAGACCAGAGACTGCATGAGAGTTTACTTTGGGGAGAAAAACTTACTTTTTTGCCACTGGGAACACTAGTGCAGTGAAGTGTGTGTTGAAAAAAACCGCTGCATCAAACAAACAAATCCACACAGTTCCAATAGATTTTGTAAAACTTAATGAATTTAAAACCATTGACTTTAAACAATAAGGGGCGACAGTAGCTCAGTTGGTAGAGCATTGGCCTTAAGGCCAGAAGGTCGTGGGTTTCAGTGGGAAGCCCCCACTGAAAGATCAAGGCTATGCTCACACTCAAAAGAGCAGCCGTCCTCCTGTGGACTCACCACCTGCAGAGGGTCAGTGAGGGGCCGGTGCTATGAGACTTGGGTGGCATCTCTGATTGCCACCCCCCTGACCCAGAAATGGATTAAAGGGCAGAAAATGGATGGATGGATGGATGGATGACTTTAAACAAGTTCCTTTTCCAAATACTGGACCTTAACCAATTATTTTGTTTTGAACGACTTCCTAGAGCACAATCTCCTGTTTCCCATGTGAATTTAAGCTGCAGTGCCTTGCCCATGGACACAGCAGATTTCTTCCCTCGTGAGAGCTCTGGTCATGAGAAATTTGGACAAACTTTACTTTGTCAGTATAGTGTTCTCCCCAAGGTTTCCCACTTTTCGTTTTTAGAATTTTTGCCAATGCAGGAGGGTCCAGGACACTCCACATTCAACATCATTTATGGACTTTTATTAACATTTATGGACATTGGTCACCTGCCTCTTATGGTCCAATGGCTCTATGTGTTTTTTATCGTTGCATTTCCTGTGTTTGAACGGCTTTGTAAAGTCCTCTAAGATTACTACTGTTGTGACTTAGGACCGTACAAAAATACATTTAATTGAATTGAATACACTGTGTCAGTCTCCTGCTGCTGATGTGACGTGGATTCTGCAGAAGCCGGTTTTGACAGTTATAGCCTCACTTTCAGCTCTATAACAACGCTATAGATCAGAGTAAAGGCTGTGGTTAATAATGCACACCGGCCCTTAAGTGAACCTCAGTCCCCGCCCTCACTGCTCAGTCCATAGGGGAGCGCCTAAATAACTTTTTATGTGAAATAAAAACAGACATACTTTTTTGTGTGTAGAACTTGTACCGACTTAGTGGCTGTATGTTTTATCAGCCTTTACTTTTGAGTTCAGTCTCTTCGTGGGTTGCAATCACACACATGGTCTGAAAGGGGCGTGGCATGGGGCCGTAGGACAGGAAGTATTATTATCCGATCAATTAGACAGGGTGATGCGGGAAAACTGACACATAGGAGCTTTGTGAGGCTGTAGATCCAGGACTGAGGCTGTAGATCCAGGACTGAGGCTGTAGATCCAGGACTGAGGCTGTAGATCTAGGACTGATGCGGCTTCATGGTGGGGAGGGGGATGCACACGGGGCAGACCAGTCCACAGGTGCAGATAAAAGAAGCCTGATTCATCACACCAGGAATCAGACAATGGGACAGCTGGGTAGTTAGTTATAGAAAAGGATCTTGCATTAATTATCTCTCCAGATCATCTAACTCCTCATAAACCTCAATTTTTACATATTTTTCACTCTTTTCTCAAATTCCCAGTGTGTGAATGTAGGTCATGTGTGTCCGCTGGCATCGGCAGAGTCCACCTCGTCGCTCCTGAAATTTCTCCCCATTCTCTCAGCTTCAAGATACAACAACAGATCGCACTAAAGTTATTTGAATTAATACGTTTTAGCAGTCGCCCCAATACGCTCTTTCAATAAGGCAGGGAGTGGTGATAGCTGCTCCGTCTGGCAGCATGGAGAGATACTTTTCCACTGTTCATTTTGACAAGAAATGTTTGTTCGTTTTAGTACTGTGTGTGAAGGAAAATATCTTTCTTAGTCCATCTCATCTTTGTGATCACTTTAAATTGTTTTTTTTGGATAGTTTTGTTGACATTAACACTAGAATTACCCACCATTATGAAACTACTAGAGCCATGCAACTGCTCCCATTCAACCAATGAAATTCTGAGAAATTCCCCCCCCCAAAAAAAATCAAGAATAATTTGAGCGCCTTTCCTAAACAAGGCAACACAAAGCGCCTAAAATAAATTCTCTAACTTTAGCATTACAAAGACATAAAATAATGTCATGTACCTCAGCTTTAAAGGAGCAGTATGTAAAAATCTGACCAAAAGTTGTACCGCACGCTCCCTGACTCAGGTTGCCAGATATGCAGACGAATCCAGCTGGGACCATAATATCTGAATAGACAAGAGTTTTGTCAACAACAAATCTAGAACCAACACCTTTTTCACAAAGATGGAAATCCTGGTTTTATTCCTTGTTTTGTCGTTAATGATTTGAGAATCATAACAAGACCTTTTTTAGCCAAATGGTACTTTACCAGTGAGATTAGCTCGACGCGGTGAGTCCTGGTGCCTGGATCACAGACTTTCTGATTGGTGAGACAGTGGAGGGCTGGACATCAAAATGAAAACAATAACAAGATTTACGGGCTGTAAAACTAATTTTGAAATTAAAATATCTCGGCTGAACCACGGTTATCAAGTATTTGAAAAGAACTTGATTTATTAAAGGCACACCGCGGACTTTGTGACCTAAAGACACATATGAGTTATTTTATATGAATACTTGGGCCAATATACAGCGCTTGACAATTGCAATGCTCCGAGCGGGGCTGCCCTCTTGAAATACCGCCCATGTAAGTTTCGAGCAGACGGACCGTCTGCCACCAGGTCACGTGACTTGGAAGAAAGACTTGCTTTACGGCTACAGGCGCTGATATACTCATGGAGCTAAGGCTTTTGCTACTCATTTTTCACCTGCTCGACTCCTGGTCATGGCTGAGGCAAGGAAAAATTTTAAACCTTCGGAGGAGGCTAAAAAGAGGAAACGCGAAAGGGATCGTGCTGTAAGCTGCATGTCTGTATGAGCGCTGCTCTTCACCTGGTTCCTGGATGTCATCGACTGCAAAGATGTCATTCCACGCAGCACGAGCTAGACGCAGAACTCCCTCATCCAGGATATAGAAGTCCATGTGTGGTAGATTACTAATGCAGCGGTCTGGAGGCTGACCACAGCAGAGTCTCTCAATATCTGTAGGCATGTCTCTACAGTTTGAACACACACACCAGTGCATGCTGTCTGAATACACACTCAAAAGACACCGGCTGACTGTTTGTTGACTTTTGCGACAGTGCTGAGTTGCTTGTGGCCACTAGGGGCGCTAAACGTGAAAGTTGCAGGTCTAGCGCCCCTAGTGGCCAAGAGTTACACGGTGTGCCTTTAACTCATTGACTGCCAGCCGTTTTTTTATGATTTCACTGATTCTCAAGACCCACAGAATATTATTTCCTAAGACTATGTAAAATATGAAACCAGATTCTGAAATACTGGATTGTCTACTTTCAACAGCAAAAATGAGTTTGTTTCAATCTTTTTTTTTTTGTCCTGAAACCCCCAGTGGAAAAGAGGGTCTCAGACAAATACGTCAATGGCAGTCAATGAGGGAATGCCTTTTCACATATTATTTATTTATTTTATTTTATTTATTTATTCATTTGAATTTAGGACAGTGCATATTCATCAATGTGTCTGCAAACAGCGTCAACATAAATATGCTGGAATTAGCACAATAGCTAAATTATTATAAGGGCCATTTAATGATGACTTGACCTAAAAATCTTATATATTGCTACTTTAAGTAAGACCATGACCAAATTAACACTTCTAAAGTATGCCCATTCTACGTTTTTATCTTTACTTTGCTTTTACAGGTACATCCAAATCCAAGAGAGCTTTTAATTATGTCGTCTACGATCTCATTCTCACCATAACGGCAGTAAGTGGATGCGTTTGGACGGCAGAACACACAGTATTTTTAGCCCTCTTTAGCGCGTCATATGGCCGTCGCCCGCTGAGATGTTGTGTAAACTTCTTCTTCAGTGAAAACAATCATATCCGAGCCAACTGTTGGTGTTGGCAGTCACATGCAGTATGTGTGGTGCAGGGATTTAAAGGCTGTGTTCAAATTACAGAGTTTTTCCTCATACGCTACAGATAGCACAATAATTATGAATATTCTATCATTCACCGTCTGATAGGTTTGGAAGTGGTCAGTCAATGATTATACTAGTAGCCTAAACTAAACCATAAACAAGACCATTAACAAACTCATAGTCTCCTTGGTTAGTGATCTGTATAGTGTCAGAGAGGTTCTGCAAAGACCTGGCAAAAACAAACAGTTGGTTCTAAATTAGAGGTGTCAATAATAGATTTTTAGATAAATATTTAGATAATTATGTTGATATCTTCATTTTTCTTTACCAATTTTTGAAAACATTTTACATTTTTATTTCAATTATTTTCTCTAGTAGAAGTAGTAGTAGTAGTAGTAGTAGTAGTCATATTCTTGTCTTCTTCTCTCTGGTCCTCCCCCATGCTTTTCCTGCTCACATCCATATCTTTCTCTTCTACACCAAATCTACAAACGGCTAACCCCTAAATCACCGCCTCACCTCCGCGCCTGCTTCCTGCTCCCGTTTGCTTTCCATTTTGCCGCTACACGCTGTTTCTGAGAGGCTTTCTGTCGAGGAAAAGCTCTTTACAAACGCCATCTATTATTGATACTGTGTGATATGAGGCCTGTGTTCAGACGTGTTTGATACAGAATTGGTCCAAAAGGCTCCGTACGAGTCCAGGAGAGGGACTTTTTGTTGCTTCTCTGAGTTCACTGGATCAACAGCAATAGATACAGAGACAATATTCTCCATTATTTATGTTCAGGTTTTCACAAAATGGTTCCTACACGAGGGAACTCAAAGTGCTAAACGAAACAGGATAGAAACGGCCACATAAGGCATTGGAATCATAAATAATCAGTCTTTCAGTTGAATGAACAGATAAACAGAAGGTCAGCAAGTAAGGTCCTGGGTTCGAATCCCGGTCAGAACAGGATGCTCCGGTTTCCCCTTCCACTAAAAACATGCACAATAAGTCTGGCATGTATAGTGTTGGTTAGGGCTTTGATGGTCCAGTGTGTTTGGTGTCATCGCCGTGTGTGTCTGAATTCCTGAACTCGGAACATTGTTAATAGCATTGGGTCTGTAAAAATGCGCTGTATTATTAAAGATTATTTACTTAAAGAGGTTCTCACCCCCGCTCCTTGAGGCTTACGTCACTCTCATTTCCTGTTCAAATCTTCCTCCAAATGGGCGTAGCCTGGAGGACTAAAGGGGACAGGCGGGGGGGTGACCGAGACTGGGCCGTTTATATACCTCTGGGCGGGGGGCTGCTCAGGTACAACTTGCAGACGTCAGGTCCAACTTCTGTGCCAGTTTTGGCGCCAGATTCAAAATTCAAATGTAGTAATACAGGTCGCCAGCAGATAGCGCCTCACTGACGGTTTTAGGCAGAAAGTTGATCTTTCAACTAATTTGCACCAAAGTGAAAAAATTATGACCAGGATATGTAGACAACATTATTGGACACTCATTTATACTGTTTATTAGCAAAACAAGTGGATTTGAGGGTGAGTTGTCCTTTAACCTGGATTTGAACATTAGTACATAGTAATAAACCGTCACAAACATTCAATACTTGATTTTTAAAAACATTTAAAAACAAAAGTATTGCCCATGAGTTAGTTTTTGTTCTTCCCGTTCTTTACCGTTACAATTCTGTGTTTGCAAACCAGCAATTATCACTTTCAGTGGTTAGAAATACTCCATAATACACTTGTTACTGAAGCTGTAATTGTTGATTGATTTCCTGTACTTTTTTGCCTTGTTTTATTGATGTACTTGCACATGTATTCCAATGGGGTTTTACTGCAAATGACAAATAAACTGAATCTGAATCTGGTCTGTGTGTTCCCAGAGTATCTTCGCCCAGTTCCAGTTCAGCAGTGAGCGCGTGCTGCCCTCTGACGTCCTGCGATCGGCTCTGGCCAAAACCTTTAAGGACGAGCAGCGCTTTCAGCTCGGCATCATGGACGACGCCGCCGAGTGTTTTGTGAGTCACCGCTCACACAGATACACACACGTGATGCCAGGAGAACACACACACATATCACGGACTGTTTGTGTGTATTTCGGTCTTTAAACATGAGCTGGAGAATACACTTGGTGCGTCATGTTGAAGAATGCTAAATCACTTCTTAAAGCTGTAGTAACCAACTTTTAATCCACAACAAAATGTAGCAATGTCAAAAAAATATTGTAACTAGTTCCTCTGTGTTAAAATGTTTGGTTTGACCGCTATGGTTTTGTTTGGTCAATTCATGAGGGTCTGAGGAAATTTAAGGACAGTGGTCAATACGGTTCGGGTTAGGACACACACACACACACACACACACAGAAATGCAATGTTATTATTGCATTTCCTGTGTTCAAACTGTTTGAGTCTCAAAGTGGAACTCAATAACTTTGGGGTGTTTGGGGCGGGAGGTTGTGTGATCATGGACATGTAAAGGTTTTCTTATTCAATAATGTGTACACTTATTAGAGAACTAGTAAGAATTTACTGGAATGCACAACACTCCCATCTGGTGGTAGAAGTGGGAAATGATAATATAGTGTGTATGAAGATATGCAAAGGAACAAATCTCAAAAAGAAAAGATAATGTATGTTAGGGCTGGGCAATAAATCGAATTTGGGCAATTAATCGGCTTTTGAAAAAATCGAATTTGTGAAAAATGTGAAAATCGTTAAATCGAATGAAGGATATTATGAGAGTTCCAGCAGCACAAAAATTATATTTGCAATTACAGGACACAGTCTGTACAAGACTTTTATAATACGTACTGGGGGAAACAAATTAGAAATAGTTTTGAAACTTGAATATTGAGCGGAAAGATCAAAACATATTTTTACGGGCAAAGTCTGTCTTCGGTGACTTTAATGAAAATCAATTAAAAATCGAAATCGTCCAAAGCTGGAAGTAAAATCGAGATTTTACTTTTTTGCCATATCGCCCAGCCCTATTGTATGTTATGTCATAAGTTAAATGAGTTTGAGAAAGTGTAGTAGTGTGGATAAAGCATTGTTGTAAAAAAATGTAAAAATCTAAAATTTTTCTTTTGCAAGCCAAAAACAAAAACATATTTTAAACAAAAGAAAGAATCCTGTATTATTTTGCTTTCACTTCACAGCTGAACAATCATGACAAAATATGAAAGTTGTAGTAGTTTTGCAATATGTTATGCCTTCACAAGTTTTGCATTCCAAAGTAAAAGTGGCTGTGGCAGGGCCGGGGCTGGAATGCATGGTCCAATGGTTGAATATTTGGTTAGTTTCCTGGCAAAACGTTATGTATTATGTGGCCTGAAGTAAATTAGTTACAATAAGCCATAATGTTGCACAGAATTTAAAAAATGGACTCATTTGGTTCCATTGGTCACAGTCCACAGACAGCTCTGGCATTTTAAACAGCCTCTTCACATGATGATCTCCTCCATTACCAGGAAAAACCCTCATCCGTCACACATGTCCGAGTCGCCTGCTCCCTGCGCACACTGCAAAAACACTGCGTATCATACTTATCAAAAAATAGACTGAAGACATTGTCACTGGTAAAAAAACAGTTTGGTTCTATCACTACTTTTCACATGCATGTATTTTTTGGCCTCTGTTAAAAGTTTAAAATGTCTACCTTTAGCATAATAATAAAGCAAGTATAACATCTCTGACTTTATCATGACAAAAACCAATTATAAAATCTGTAACTTTAGCATAATAAGGAAGTAAGTGAAAATATCTATCTTTAGCATAATACATCTGCGCAATTGTGTGTACGTGTGTGTGTCTACATCTATGTGTGTGCTTGTGCATCTGGGTGTGTGTGTGTACATCTGTGTGGAGGTGTGTAGATCTGCCTGTGCGTGTAGATCTGTGTGTGTGTGTGTACATCTGTGTGGAGGTGTGTACCCTGTAGATCTGCCTGTGCGTGTAGATCTGCGTGTGTGTGTACATCGGTGTGTGTGGTGTGTACATCTGTGTGTGTGTCTGTAAACTTGCGTGCTCTCTGATCGATTGGGTGTAAATGTGTTCCGTCAGAGAATCTATCGCAGCCTTTATGAAATATAGATGCTGCTTCCACGCCACAGATTAGAAGAGCCCACGCACACGGCCCACACGCGAGTCTGCCTCCTCTCACATCCACAAAGTTCTCATGGAGGCTACAAAACGTCTCAAAGATTTAAAAAAAGTCAACATTGTTACTATTATTATAACAACTAAAGAATGAGGATCGCTGTGGTGTTTCTGTGTCTATGTACATGTAATGAGGCATGAAAAACATTATCTATTTGTACATAAGTCTACATTATACAACAGCAAGCCTTCTCCAATTCAATTTTTGTATATCCCTAAATCACAACAGCAGTCGTCATTGGTTCATATGGAAGAGGATGACCATAAATGTCCATAAATGTTAATAAATGTACTTAAAGCAACTCGTCTGTCCCTGTTACTCTGCAAAGCTAACCCCGTCGAAACAAATGCCCATATAAGGAAGTTGGCTCCAGCTAGCATATGTTCAAACCGTCTTCATTTCCATTTAGGCCAACGCTATGGTGATGACACACCTGGTCAGTCCACTTCTAATGTACAGTCTGTGGTTTTAGCCGAGATACCATTAAATACTAGCTAATATACGAGGCATAGTGACTGAGAAAAAAAACATTACTCAATACAGGGGGTGCTTAAATCGTAAAACAGAAGATGGAGAGGTTATAGGCTCTGGTGAGAACTCATACCTCATCCCCATTGCTGTCAGACTGTACAACAAGTCACTCATTCATGACCTACATGACGACTAGAAATATTTACTTTTTTTGCATATTTTCCCTGAGTGATCATATTGAAGCCAAATGTAACATAGTACATGTGTCCATTGTGAGAATAATTAAGTTTTATCTGATCTTATCTTGTCTCCGTTGTTCCCGCAGGAGAATCTGCTGATGCGGCTTCACTTCCACATCAGCGCCGAGAGCAGGGAGGACATCTGCACGGCCAAGCACTGCATCCCACACCAGAAGTTTGCCATGATGCTCTTTGAACAGGTGGGAGCCGCTCAAAATACACATGTACACAGGTGCAGCCGACCGGCGAGTCCAGCTTTGTAACGTTTTAAAGCTGGGGTACCTGACTTTCAAACCACAAAACATGGAATGATGCAATAGAATCCTTATGAGTGCTGTAGTCCCTCGCTCACAAAAGAGTTTGGTTCTGTCTCTAGTGTTCTTATGCATGTATTATTGGTTAAGCCGAGAGAGAAACCAGAGAGAGAGAGAACAGAGAGTCCAAAGAGAGAATCCAAAGAGAGAGACCGGAGTGAGAGACCGGAGTGAGAGACCGGAGTGAGAGACCGGAGTGAGAGACCGGAGTGAGAGACCGGAGTGAGAGACCGGAGTGAGAGACCGGAGTGAGAGACCGGAGTGAGAGACCGGAGTGAGAGACCGGAGTGAGAGACCGGAGTGAGAGACCAGAGAGCGAGCGACTAGAGAGAGAGAGACCAGAGAGAGAGACCAGGGAGAGAGACCAGAGAGAGGGACCGGAGAAAGACCAGAGAAAGAGACCAGAGAGAGAGACCAGAGAGAGGGACCAGAGAAAAGACCGGAGAAAGACCAGAGAGAAAGAGAGAGACCAGAGATAGAGAAAGACCAGAGAGAGAGAGAGACCAGAGATAGAGAAAGACCAGAGAGAGTGAGAGACCAGAAACAGAGAGACCAGAGTGAGAGACCAGAGAGCGATCAGAGAGAGAGCGACTAGAGAGAGAGAGACCAGAGAGAGAGACCAGAGAGAGAGACCAGAGAGAGACATCAGAGAGAGAGACCAGAAAGAGACCAGAGAGAGACCAGAGACAGACCAGAGAGAGAGGCCAGAGAGAGAGACCAGAGAGAGACCAGAGAGAGACCAGAGAGAGACCAGAGAGAGACCAGAGAGAGACCAGAAAGAGACCAGAGAGAGAGACCAGAGTAGAAGTGGGAGTAGCACTGAGCTACTCCCACTTCTACTCCTACTTCTACTTCCCTTTCTACTCCCCCCACCTCCATACCCCACTGCTATTCAAAAATATATAAAAAATAAAATAAATGAAAATATTATTAAACTCATTGTTGTCTGTTTGTTTAGTTAAAGCAGAAGTAAGCAATTTTTCTGTGTTAAGGCGTACCACATTGCGTCGCACGGCTAATTTAAAACAGCTGCTTCTGGGTTTAAGACATGTTTTTGCGACATATGGGGGCGATGTGAGAGATACCCAGACATAAGGCTGAGTGAGGAGAGGAAAGCTGCGTTCAGCAATAGACACAAGTTTTGGATGATTTCATGCAGGAAGAGGCGGAGCTTCCCCTTAACTTACTCCATTACTTATAGATGTTGTTCCTAAAGTGCTTTATAGATGTATTCTTCAGCTAAAGATTATTGCAGCTATTTTTCTCTTGTGTGTGCTCCTTCGTCCTTCTGTCCTGTGTGTGTGTGTGTGTGTGTGTGTGTGTGTGTATGTGCGTGTGTGTGTGTGTGTGTAAGTTCAAAGCAATGTAGGTCCACACCATGACAGATGCGTCTCTTTGGTTTTGTAGTGTGTGTGTACGAGCTGTGGAGCCACGTCAGACCCCCTGCCCTTCATCCAGATGGTCCACTACATCTCCACCACATCTCTCTGGTGAGTGTGTCAAATACCATAATAATAATAATAATAATAATAATAATAATAATAATAATAATAAATTAATAATAACAATGCATTGGTTTTATACAGTGCTCTTTTGCACACTCCAAGATGCTTCACATGTTATTATTCATTCACTCCATACACCGTGGTGATAAACTACTATCATAGCCACAGCTGCCCTGGGGCACACTGACAGAAGGAGGGCAACCAGTATGTGCCATCGGTTCCTCTGACCACCACCAATACAATTATGCACACACTAGACTCATTCTAGGCAATGTGGGGAAAGTGTCTTGCCTAAAGATACAACCACAGTTTGGCAGACCTCTGCTTAGCTTCAGAGATTTGACGGGATATGGCTTTTGCATGCAGGTCTGTCACCACCACACCTCTCTTAGTGTATTCACTGTTGGAATGGACAATGCTAATGTAGCATTTACATTGAACTGATCTCCTGGCTAGCTCGCCACGTTTTATATAGCATGTACAGGTTAGAACTATTTTAGGCTAGGATCAGAATTGGTTCGGCTTGAGTGCAGTAGTAATACACTCAGGCAAATATTCAATTGGGTTTTCATTGTTATTCGTTCTGAAAGCATGGGGCAAAGTCGGATTTAGTTTTCAAAACAAGTCTTTTGTGGTATGCGGTTTCTTACACTAATATGGAATTTTACATTTTGACATTAAGCAATTCGAAAATACTGATAATTTTAGTTGTTATTTAATTCAAACAAAGTATACCTCTGGAACGTTGATCATCTTCAGTACCAACGACAAAACATTTTGCCGTTTCCACAGAACAGGACAGGACATTGACTGTTGCAGAAGCAGTTTAGAGCTGATGATTTCAAGCTTTTTAAAGTAATCTGGAGCCAAATTTATGGTGTGTGGCTGGCAACTTATGTTTGTGTAGCGGTAGACGTGTGTACAGAACTATAAATCATTGGAATTATTTTCTTGTGAATTATCAGTAAAATGGCACGACATCAATCACCGAAGTATTTGAAGCACATTATAAAAACAATATCCTCAAAGCAGCTCTCGGTACAAGCTCGTCCTATTAACTTTCCAAAACGTTTTCTCTGTAAGAAAATCTCAGAATAGGTTCCAGCCTCTGACGCCGCAAACTCCTCTTCTATTTTACAGTGCAGCAAAAATGACAAACACACGGACGAATGCACGCACACACACACATACACACACACACACAAACACATACATATATGATACACACACACACATACACACACACACACACACACACACGGCATACACACACACACACACAGCAAAATCCCACCCCTCTTAAGCCAATGGAGTGAGGAACTGCAGGGAAGTAATCAATCAGCTGTTTAATTCCGGGCTCCCAGGGGCCTCTGCAGATCCATACAGTGTAATGTGGGCAAAGAGGAGGCTGCAGGGAAATAAAGTGGAGAGCGGAGGTGTCCTGTGTGAAAGTGGATCAGAGGAAGGCTTTAAATGGAAGTGGACACTGAAGAGATGGGTTTAGAAATAACCATTTTGTCCCATTTATGTTTATATTAATGGAACAAACTATACTCAACATATCACTTTTTTCTCTTTTGCTTCATCGTCCTCTCACTTCGGTTTTCATTTCTTGTTTCTTTTGTTTATATAAAGCACTTTTTGATTCCATTCTTCTTCTTTCAAAACATGGACCAATTGAATTTGAGGGATGACTAAATTATGCTTTATCTTTTATATCAGATTTGATGGAAAGACTTTTCTCCATGTATTTAGTTTGGCATCTCAAGTGAAGATGTAATTAATCAAGTAAAAATGTATTAAAGAACAAGTATTACACATTTTTTTCAGTCAGTAACAAAATATCCTGGGACTATTGAAATAATGTGAAATGATATCAATAATAAATGATGAATGAATTAAGATAACATATACTTTACAATGCAATGAGCTGGAATTCGTAAACGGCACAACATGAAATCTTGGGAGTGGTGTTTTTGAATCGGAGCTGGAGGTGGAAAATGCAAACATGAAGCAGGGACAGAGGTGTAATGATGAAACTCGCAGGCGGTCCGACTGGGAATAGGCCTGGTGCATCCTGGGAACAAAAACAAGCAGGATTATATTAAGTGCATATTGGTGCAGGGGGACTTGGATATAGGCTCTGGACATTCAAGCTGAGAGATGGACGAGGGGCGGGAATGGGAAATATTGATTGAATAAATCTGAAAAGAAAGAGAAAAAAATGGTGATAAAAGATTCTGCTTTTTCCATTGCTTTTAGAAGTAGTCGATGACCACAAAAAGACATCCAATATACCAAGAGATTTTAACTTCATCTTCTCCAGGGGTAGCCCAAACTTTTTAGTAAGAAACCATTTTAGTTCTCCCAGATTATAAAAATGGTTTTGCTGGATTAGAGAGGATGTCCATTTTCCATTTTGTCCAATGTCCAATTCTGGTCTAAAAAGTGACAGATTTACCAAAAACACATTATAGGGCCCATATTTCGCTTTTTGACTTTCCTCTGGTTTAAACATGATAACAGTGCTGTTTGGCCTTCATACACATGCCCAGAGTAGTTTTTTCATTGATTCTGTCAAGATTTAGTCAGAGAGCAATCTTTCTCTTCCATTCTCGAGAGGCACAGAAACGAGCTGATTCAAATTGTGACGCGGCACAATCCGTGACGTCACTGATTGATAGCGAGGAGAAACTGAACCAGCGAATCAGCGTCGTCCATAGTCAGCCACTGCAGCCTCTCTCCGAGTCCAGCGTGTGGTCCATAGACGGTAAATAAGCGTCTGTGATTTTTTTGTGTTAGCTTCATGTCAACTTGGAGAAAATGAGTTGTTGGTGTAAATATGTGACGAGAGTATTTGGCTGAAGATGGAGAATGGGGACCGACTTTGTTCACAGGGATCTGCCTCGTATCCGTGAGTCTGAAATCCGTGATGAAACTGACAGATCTTTTTGTGCGACTGACATTGACACCACCAAAGACTGTTCCAGAACTACCGTTACCTTGAAACGGGATCTACTGTAAAGCTGATCTGGAAACCTGGTGTTATTTCCAACAGAAAAGACCCTAATGGGAGCCTCTGAGTACAATGCAACTAACTCCCCGTGTGTCACTGTGAACTAAATGATTAGGGTCTGATTCTGGATCGAGGACATACAGTAGGGCTCAATGTGACAGTTAGCTCTTGTTTACCTCGAAACTTAGCGTGATGCTACGTCACCGTGCGGGCGGGAGGAGGCGGGCTCACAGCTAGAGGAGCACTGATCCAAGCGTTTCACATGAGCCGAGATCACCTCTATGCACAAAATGGCTATAATTTGACGTGTTTTGAGTGTTGTATGGTGTATCACCCAAATAATTATCACACATGTGCATAGGATGGACTGTGAAAAATTAAGAAAAGCAAAATATGGCACCTTTAAAGTGAAAACTAGGGATAAAACCAAATCGTAATGAGTTTGATTCATGATCTTGGGATTCATGTTGTTTTATATTTAGGTCTCCCTGCTCTAACAATGAGGTTATCAGGCCAATTTCAATTACAGTATAACAGTTTAAAACGTTTTGGCTAGTCATATTGGGCACTACATTGTTCGAATTTGTGCCATTTTAAATCTGATTTCTTTGCTTCATTGTACGTTCTTACCAAGTCCTTTCATAAACGCACATATACAACACAATAATCCTCCATTTTGTAATAACAAGCAATACTTTCCCTGCGCCCAATCGATTTCACTAACACATAAAAACGACTTGAGAATTGGTTTTGCATTGACCAGTCCTTTTGTAATAACCTCTAATGTCACTTCAGTGCTTCCCGGTTAGAGGCAGAACAGCAAAGCGAACGGCGAGGGGCAAAAGTACAAATAAACACCGCACGCGTGTTTAGTCTGCTATTTATAGACAACACGGAACACGCAGACGTCGACACGGGCGAGCTAATCAGAGGGCAACATGGAGACCAGCGCACGGCCTCCAGCACATGGGCAAACACTGATACGGGAGCACAGGGCTATTGTGGAGACTGAGGCTGGGAATAGATGCAACACATGGAGATGGTTTGTTGATGTTTATTGTGTAAGAGGGGGAGGATCATTTATATGTATAGATTAGGGGTGCAACGGTTTGAAAAAATCACGGTTCGGTTCGTACCTCGGTTCAGAGGCCACGGTTCGGTTCATTTTTCGGTTCATTTTTCTAAAAAAAAGTGGTGTCTTTTTAATAAACACAGCTCATGTGGACTCGGCACCTGCTCTGACTGCCCCCACCTGCCCTAGAAATGAATTAAGAGGAAGGAAATGGATGGATGGATGGAAGGCATATTCCATCCATCCAATTATGTCTATTTAACATAATTAATGAAAAACAACACAAAGTGCAACATAAGAAGGCACTTTATGAGGATATTTACCCTCATATATTACACCACCTTCCTGATTCTCCCAAGGAGGGGGTCCATTCTGGGCCCAGCCTCATTCACTGCATTTATTTAATTTTTGGCATTATCAGTTGTGACTGGGATATTAGTACTGGGCCTTTGTCTTCCATTCCTCCGCTGTTGTGTCAGTACCTGCGCTGTGTGACTGTGTGACTGTCGTAGAGGGGGCGTGTCTGCAACGCCAGACTTTTCATCTCCCAGTCTGCGGTGATGAACTGAGCGGTTCCGCTCATGGATCTATTATAGGTTCCGCGGGACGTCCAAGCGTCAGTCGTGAGCGCAGCTGAGGATGCGCGGGAGAGTTGACTTTAGCCCGGTCTGACTGTGCGTAAAGGAGCTGCTTAAATGCCGCGACAATAGGTGGTTGAGACGCTTTTTTCACTCATGTCTTTCTTGTGCCACAGTGCTTACACATCGTGACAGTTTTGTCGAATATTAATTATTAGTGTAGTTACAGTGAAGCCAAAATGCTCTCATACTGGGGATTTAAATGACGCGGGGCTTTCAAGCATCTCCGTTCCTCCGCTCGCAATGACCGCGCTGTGTGTGGACTGAACAACGTGCGCACAACTTTTTTTTCATAAATCAAACCGCGGATCACGTCTGTACCGAACCGAAGACGTTGAACCGAACGGATCACGGATCAGTGATGAACCGTTGCACCTCTAGTATAGATAGTTTAATAAAGACAGATTTCTATCAGGAACATCAAAAAGTTGAAAGTCTATATGGATTGTCTTGGGATGAATGTATATTGAATGTAGGCCAACATAAAACAGTAGAGTTGGGTTTTGGTTTTTCCTTTCGTTTACATGAAGACGGTGTTTCAGGGGGGCTTAAAACGCAAGCATTGAGAAACAGCCTCTAGATAGGAACAGAACACAACGGCTGTTTGAAGAAAAAAGTGTGAATTCTTTGCCAAGAATGACCTCAGCACTTTCCTGCACATAGTAGCCGAGAACAAACGGCGGCCGAGAACACTAACCAGCTACGTGTGCTTCGAGCGTTTCACGGAGAAGAATTCTTCTCCTTCGTTCGTTCAAACGAAACCACTCGAAGCTGTAGTTTCAGTTTCCATTTTCGCAGCTACTGTTAAATGCAGAAAGATGTTGGTGCTTTCTGTCACGTGTTTGTTACGGTCTGAGGAGGATGTGGTTGAGGAAGTGGTTCTACTGTTGGGGGCGCGTGTGTTGTATAGTTCCACTGCCCACTACTGGACAGGTGCTAGAACTACATTGTTTTCTTTCGACGTCTAAACGCTGTGCGCTTCAAATAAGGAGCCTGGTCGTTTTTGCTAGTTGCTTTTCTCGTGTCTGTCGAAACAAGGCCTCAGTGTCTCGAAATAACATTTGTTGATTCTTGGTAAACGTTTGTCCATGATACATCAGCCATTTCAAACATGGACATAACACATACCAGTTCTAGACTTGTACTACTTTACTGTATGCTCAAAATAGATGAATCCCTTTGAAAGTGATGATAATTTTATGTCTGTCTGACGGTTGCACAAACAGGTGTCACTAAGAGGTATGAAAGGTAAGTATGAAAACGCCGGTGATTGGAGGCATACATCTCACCACAGGAGCTGCAGCGTCAGGAGCGGGGATCAGAATAATGATATTTGTGAATTTGCATGTGTCCTCTCAGTGACACTGGGTTAAAACCAGACACCGAGGAGTCAAAGAAGGACAGCAGCTTATATAACAGACGGAGGATGTGATCTCCATGACGTTTGGAAACGACGGCCCAGTGGATTCTCTCTGTCTTGGACTATATGAGACGAAAACGCATTTTATTAAAGCTTGTAGTTTAATCTATAGAGAGACCATGGGAGAGAGACCAGAGAGAGAGTGAGAGACCATTGAGAGGCCAGAGAGAGACCAAAAAGAGAGATCAAAGAGAGAGACTAGAGAGAGACCAGCAAGAGACCAGCAAGAGACCAGCAAGAGACCAGCAAGAGACCAGCAAGAAACCAGCAAGAGACCAGCGAGAAAGAGAGAGACCAAATATTTTCAACTAGTTTGTTCAAAAACAGTAAAAAAAAATGCATTTAAATTCAACCACGAACAAATATTTGGACTCGGCCCTACACCTGGAAATACATATACTGTCACTATCTTTCTTCTGCGCGTCAGTTTTAATCTTCCCCCTCTTCACTGAAGCCTCTCTCCGGGGGGAACCTTCCTCTTGACATCCCTCACACAGAGGTCAAACTTCATAATTAGTCTAAATAGAATCAGACGCAGGAGGAGTCCGCTAAAGCTGCTATTCACTTTGGCGAGGACTTTGGGGAGTCCCTCTTATTCCATAGCTCTAATCATTGCGTAGATGGTAATTTCCTCATCTCAAAACTCCCCGTCTACATCTTTGGTCTCAGTGAAAGAACGATGCATAAGTAAAGTTTACAGGACAATATTGTAGTTTCTGAAACACAAATGAAACGTTTCCATTCATTTAGGTTTTAATATGTCTTTTATCTATTCTACAAACTACTGCATGTGAGAGAATTAATCTATATAATGTTGGAGTTTTGAGGCTTTGAAATTGCACATTTTAAGTGCACTTGTACATTGTAAACTGAAGAAATGTATGTCGATTTTTATATATGCATGCCGTTTTGATTTTATTGTGCTTTAACTTGTTTGCACCGAGAGCCAAAGCAATATCCTGGTTTGTGACTTCTTGTTGCTCACATGGCAATAAAAGGATTCTGATTATGATTAGTTGAATATACGTACATACTTGGCCTTACAACAGTCAGACGTGGTAGTTCCTCTGGTCAGTTATCTACCACAGGCCATGTCCATAATTGTTATAGTTATTGTTTTGATATTTAGACCTATCTTGTCCTGCTCTTGTCCTCTGCAGTAACCAGGCGGTGCGGATGCTAGAGTGCAGAGACAAACCCACTCCGGACATGTTTGGGGAGCTGCTCCGAAACGCCAGAAACATGGGAGACCTCCGCAGCTGTCCTGTAAGTGTGTGTGTGTGTGTGTGTGTGTGTGTGTGTGTGTGTGTGTGTGTGTGTGTGTGTGTGTGTGTGTGTGTGTGTGTGTGTGTGTGTGTGTGTGTGTGTGTGTGTGTGTGTGTGTGTGTGTGTGTGTGTGTGTGTGTGTGTGTGTGTGTGTGTGTGTGTGTGTGTGTGTGTGTGTGTGTGTGTGTGTGTGTGTGTGTGTGTGTGTGAAGATGCTGATGATTGCGGTTTTTAATACCCGGAAGATTGTCAAAGAATGTCTCCATGGCTTCGCACCAAAGAACATCTGTGACATTTTAGTGTCGCACGAACCAACTCGGACTCTGAGGAGCACAGGGACTGTTCTCCTGCTGGTCCCAGGGTCAGGAATAAACATGGAGGAGGCAGCGTTTCAGATTTATGCAGCTAAAATCTAGAACAGTCTTCCTGAAAATGTGAGACAGGCTTCATCTTCTCTGACAATGTTTGAATCCAGGTTAAAAACAGTTTATCTGTGTATACAACTGAAGGATTGTACCTTCACTCTTTTTAATGTACTGTTATTATTTATTATTTTAATTCCTTGTGTGATGATACAGTAGTAGACGGTAAAGGACATTTATGGACATTTATGGACAGCGCTGATCCTGCTCCCTATGAACCTACCAATTAGGGCCGTAGAAAAATACATTGAAATTTGATTGTTGCTGCAAATTGTGACAAAAAACAAAAGCCACATACAGTATATGTTTTGCTTTGTTTTGTTTAACCCAATTCAAAAGATTGTATTGTTAAATGCAGTTCATGAAATCGGCTTCTCAGCATTATTGAAAACCATTATCGTCCACATTAATGTCACCGCTTCCCATTCACCGACGTGGACCTCTATTAAGTCCTCTGTCCCTGGAAGTCTTTCAATAGCACCGTTGCTGAAAAGTCGCTGATAACACGATCGGCCTTTAAGAATTCTCTGCTTTAGTGCGAAAATACAACGTCAAGGAGACACATTCAGCGATGGAAGCAGGCAGCATTTCTCTCTATTGTTGTTTTCTCTCAGCCGCTTGGGAAAGTCCTTCTCCATCTCCGGTCCTCAGATCCCCCAGGCTGTCGCTGCCAAAAACTCCCCACACAAAGAGGCTTCTCTCTGGGCACGCTTCAGCAGCTGTCCCCCTCTCGCTAACCTCTGGAAACAGACATTTCGCTCCTTCAGAGAGGGCCTGGTTTGTGCAGGCTCCTCTGGGAGACTGTGGCTTTGGCTGTTGTTTATCTTCCATCACACGCGGTGGCGAGTGCTTGCACAGGCCGCTGCGGCTTCTGTTCAAACACTGAGATGGTTTTGGGTCGAGAGAGAGAGAGAGAGAGAGGGCAGGGTTTATAGCAGGCATGTCCAAACTCAGGCCCGCGGGCTAATTGCGGCCCTCTGTGCCATTTTATGTGGCCCTCTGCTGCTAAGAAAAATTTGTCATTGAGGCACTTTGACAGTGTCATCCAACCAACTTCAGCTCCACCAATACAGTCATGCTATACCTTGTTGTAAATCTCAGACCCACTGGAATCCAGTCGATGAATCTATTGTCATTTACTAACATTTGTTTTAGGATTGTGTCACAACATTCCAAATAATATGCAGCTGTGGTGTGAATTAATAAGAACGTATCATAACCCATTTTAAATTCCAGAATCCAGTCAATCCAGCTCGAATCCGGTTTTTGAGTCCAGGTTGTCAGCCCCATATCAAGTCTGATAAAATAAAGTGGCCCTCTTACAAAAAAGCTTGGACACCCCTGGCAAGGGGGTGATATTGGATTAGTTTTAGAACAGACCCACACAAAGCCAAAAGAAAATATTAGATTATTCATTTCTGATTTTGGACATGTGTTTTACTCTTTGAACGATGTTTGTTTTTGTCTGTGAGGCTGTTGAAAAATGTTTTCACTTGAAATGACTGAGCCATTCAAAAATATAGGATTATACATTTAATCATTCCAGTCCAGGACCAGCACCTTGAAAACATAGCTTTAACCATCATAGAAAGACAGAAAAAGTCACAAAGTTACAAAAATACATAGAGTTGAGGAATTACACTTCCAAAACTAAAAGTTATTTTCTTTTGCATAACGTTTGAAATACATTCTTACTATACTATGTTACTAAACTAATCCAAATCTTATATTAGAGTGGGCTACAGTGGTGACTAATCTGTCCATGTCCCGGCAGAGTCAATCTGAGTCACAATTTCTCACAAACTTATTTCATTTAGACCAAAAACTCCTTAATCACCGCTCTGCACAGCCCTGCATCCAGCACGACTATGCAAACAGGTCCTCCGCAGTGCATACACAAAATGCAGCAATAACCCTATTCATATTATGAACCCGACACGCGGATTTGTTTGGAGTTTTAGGCCGATGAGAGATGCCTTGCGGTCTGGAAACAACGCAGAGGGATTAAAGAGCCAAATCGATCAATATTGTGCGTTGGTTTGTTTGTTTTGTGTTTCCTGGGAACTGGCAGAGATGCTTCCTGATGCCGCTGGATCCAACCAAAGGAAATAAAGCAGAACAAAGGATCTTTTTATACACATCACTCGTAGTTTTTGTTTCAGGCAGATTGTGTATTGTTACAGTCTGAGCATCCCAATTGGAAATGCTGAAGGATTAATGGATCCTCCTCCATCTGTTTAAGGACATTTACAGATAGATAGATGGATAGATAGACGGATGGACGGACCGACAGACAGACAGACAGATCCATCCATATCATTCTAAAAGTCACTGACAATGTATGGACCAATTGCTCCTGTGTGTTTTTAATTATTGCACTTTCCTGTGTTTGAACCTTTTCATTCTTTTATCCGTTGACAACTTTGTAAGGTGCCGTCGACTGCTGTTGTGATTTAGGGCTATACAAAAATACATGCTCATTCCTCAATTGGGTTATGGGGTAGATACAGTGGCTTGCAAGATTACTTTTACATCTTGAACTTTTCCCCTTTTTGTCTTATTGAAGATATTAATGTTAATAATAAAAACAAAAGTAAGAATGGGGCTTGCACAAGTATTATTACATATTCTCTGGAATGAGTTAGAAGTACATTTTTTCTATTTGTTTGTGTTCTTGTACAATCACATTCACCCAGTTCTCAGCTCTGTGGCCTGACTTCAGTCGTCTGGTAGGGCTATACAAGGTTGTCGATTCACAAACAACAGATCTGAAAATCAGTATGAACACAGGAAATGCAATAATAACAAACACATGAGAGCCATTGGTCCATAGGGAGCTGATGACCGCTGTCTATAAATATCCCGGATCATCACTGTCCTCAGACCCTCCTGCATCGGCAAGGAACCACTCCACAAACACCAGTAGGAAAATATGGAGAAACTTTGCGGAGGCCCATATTGAGAGAGGAGGATCCACTACCACAGACAGACGTAGAGCCGGCCGTAGGCCGTAGAGCCAGGAGGGCAGCCCACAAGTCCAGTCCGGCGGAGACCAGTCTTGAGACCACGCCATATTTTATCGCTTTTGCATTTAGATACATCAAATAATCACCCAATATGAACTGCGTCTTCTTGTGTTATTCCAGAGTAACTGCGGAGAGGTGCTGCGGATCCGTCGCGTCCTCATGAACTCTCCGGAGATCGTGTCCATCGGTCTGGTCTGGGACTCGGACCACTCGGACCTGGCTGAGGACGTCATTCACAGCCTGGGAACCTGCTTACGGCTGGGGGATGTGAGCTAACGTCACACTAAAACGGCACCATTTTGAATATTCTAACATACCTTTATATACTAAAATGCGAGTTTTTGGATCGATATTGCGGATTACAAATCAATGGACAAGGAGAAGAAAGGAGCACAGGGTCTAAACACAGACGAGGAAACAGACAGGAAGTAGAACCTAAATGCAGTCAAGGCAAAAAGTATGGACGTTTGTGTGATTTGTGTTGATAAAGTGTTCCCTGCTTCTTCACTTACTGGATACTGGATACTTGAAATACAAATACCATAGAAAGTTTGTTTGTAAAGTGGAGATTTCACTTTCAAACGCCCTCCACAATCACTGCCACGTTTGGTCTCGTAACTTTGGTTTTAGGAGCACTGCGACTCGGCTCTGACCAAGGACACACACGCTCAGAGCTGGACATTTACAGTTCATACAGGACGTAAACACATGCGTTATACTGTGAGGGCTGACACACAGGCTGTAAAGTGCATCATGTGTAAAACTTCTCTCCCATTCCTCCTCTGTCCTCCTCTCTTCTCTCTCTCTTTTCTCATTCTTTGTACATTCCTCCTCTGTCCTCCTCTCTTCTCTCTCTCTTTTCTCATCCTTTGTACATTTCTCCATTGTGAGATCAATAAAGTTTATCTTATCCTCTTCCTTTCTCCTTGCTCATCTCATTTCTCTGTACTTTCTCCTCTCTCTTCTCTGCTCTCTCCTCTCTCCCCTCTGTCTCGTCTCTCCTCTCCTCTCTCCTCTCCTCTCTCCTCTCTCCCCTCTCTCCTCTCCTCTCCTCTCCTCTTCTCTCCTCTCTCTCCTCTCCTCTCTCTCCTCTGTCTCGTCTCTCCTCTCCTCTCCTCTCCTCTCTCTCCTCTCTCCCCTTCTCCTCTCTCTCCCCTCTCCTCTCCTCTCCTCTCCTCTCTCCTCTCCTCTCTCTCCTCTCTCCTCTTCTCCTCTCTCTCCTCTCTCTCCTCTCTCCCCTTCTCCTCTCTCTCCCCTCTCCTCTCCTCTCCTCTCCTCTCTCTCCTCTCTCCCCTCTCTCTCTCTCCCCTCTCCTCTCTCTCCTCTCTCCTCTCCTCTCCTCTCCTCTCTCCTCTCCTCTCCTCTCCTCTCCTCTCCTCTCCTCTCTCCTCTCTCCTCTCCTCTCTCCTCTCCTCTCCTCTCCTCTCTCTCCTCTCTCCTCTCCTCTCTCCCTCTCTCCTCTCTCTCCTCTCTCTCCTTCTCCCCTTCTCCTCTCTCTCTCTCCTCTCCTCTCCTCTCCTCTCCTCTCCTCTCCTCTCCTCTCCTCTCCTCTCCTCTCTCCTCTCCTCTCCTCTCCTCTCCTCTCCTCTCCCCTTTCTCTTCTTCTCTCCCCTCACCTCTTCTTTCCTCTCTCTCCTCTCTCCTCTCTCTCTAGTTTAGTCCAGCTCTAGTCGCAGAAATCAAAACAGATCCAAAGTCGTTTTTTAAATCTAATTTTGGCACTATTTTCCTGAGAGCTCCTCTATTTTTCCTCATTTCTGTCTGAAAAAAACTGCTCTAAAGATATGACAGACTCCAAAATCACGTGTTTGCAAAAGCTAGTGATGGAACCAAACTATTTAGAGAGAGAGCAACAGAAATGGAATAATAGTGGAATAGATGGATTTTGATTATGGCTACGTTTACTGTGTTGAAAGTTACATACCCCAGCTTTAACATGCAAAACTGACTCCTCGCCGCTTTCGACCCCATCATAGTTGCTTCCCCTTGTTATTTATGAACTCAAGTTGTTTTTAGACCACTTTGAATGCTCAACTACTGCATTGTATATGTGTATTGTACTGTATCTGTTCTTTCTTTCACTCCTTCTGTGTCACGCCTCTCTCTCTCTCTCTCTCTCTCCTGTTTAGTTCTTGTTCATGTTTCTGTCCTCCTCTTCTTCCTTCCTTCCCCTCATCTCTTCACACCTCTCGGCACATGTGTTCTCGAGGCGGGCTCCGTGTCATGACTGACTAATGTCCATGCATTTTAATGACGCCATTCTCAAGCGATTCTCATGAATAATGTATCCCTGCATATGAGTAAGATGTGCGGCACAACTTCTGTCTCTCGCACGCTCCACATTCCCCCGCCTGCGGTTTGGGACTGATGTAGAAAAGCATTTTGCACTTTAGTTATTCTGACAATTTCAATGTTGTTTTCTGCCAAATCAAATCACAATTCTACAGTCACAAAGTTCAAGCCGTGGCACTGAACTTTCACAACATTCAAATACAATCCATTTAACTAGTTCTAAGCTCTCAAAATGTATTTCCTGGCCTCTGTCACATCTTTAAATCAGCTTTTTTAGACAGAAAAGTGACAAAACAGTGGAGCACCCTCACTCAGCCAATCAGCTCTCAGCCCAAAGCCTCAAATATCGACTCATATGGCTCATTCTGAACACGCAAGCGATAAAACAGACCATTTTGTATCGCGTGTATCCTTTAATATCAAAAGCGCAGACTAGCCGCGAGCTAAACGATACAACATTAGCGTCATTCCACATATTTTTTTTTTCTCCCAAGGTCATCGGCGTTCTGTGTGTTTTTAAAGCCGGGGGATTTAGCGTCTGCCGTACACAATGTAGATCTGAGAATCGATATCGCGCTCGCACAGATGCAGAGGAACGCGGGGTTCATGGTACAGTCGTGTAAATGGTAAAATCAATACTAGTGTCAGCTGCTCTGAATGTATGAATGAGAATGTGTGTGGGGCGGATGTATGAGCACAAGATATTCTGAGGAAGAGGAGGAGGTGGAGGAGGAGGTGAGGAACAAGGTTATTGTTTAACACCAGAACTCCCAGAGCAGTCAATTTGACGGGTTTTAGGTTTTTTTTGTAATGACTCAGCTGTTGTACATTCTTGGTCTTCATAACTGTGTGACTTTTTATGTTTCTCTATTGCTATGTCATTATGTGTATGAAAGACAAGACTCTCTGTACCTTTACTTGCTTTGAAAGAGCCCTGTGAGTCACTATTTGACTCTTTGGGCTGATTGAGTGAGGACGGGCCTCTTTTTCACTTTTCTTTCTTAATAAGTGTAAACAAAGTAAAGACATAGTTATTGTTTTTGAAGTTTTATGTTAAGGGCTTGGTCAAATTTAGTGATAACAATAAGAGCAGTTTTTTAAAGCGCTTTTTGGACACTCAAAGATGCTTCACATGTTGTTGTTCATTATATTACTGTAGCCACAGCTGCCCTGGGGCACACTGACAGAAGCATGGCAACCAGTTTGTGCCATCAGACCCTCCCACCACCAACCATTGACACACACCATGCTCATTCTACTACTTCACAGCCGCAGCCGCCCCACTGTGGCACCTAGTGTTCCCATTGGTCGCCCATCACTGGACTAACCAGGTCCTGTCCTGCTTAGCTTCTGAGGTCTGACAGAATCTGTTTTTTTTTCACGCAGCTATGGTCACATCTTGCATGTGAAAGGTTAGGAACAGTATTATAATAAGAAAACACTGAAAAGAAAAGAACATTTAAATTTTTGTAATGAAGCGCCCTGTGAGTCACTGTGTGCTGAGAGCTGATTGGCTGCTGCAGGGGTCATCCACCCTGAGTCATGTCTGTGTGTGGGAAAGATGCCCTGTGGTTGTGCCAGTGGCTAAACACTCATGTCTGCAGATGCTAAGGATGTGAGAAAATAACTAGTGACAGATATGGACTAGCACCCAAGATTTCAGATTGGAATAGTGTGTTAGAGAAAGAGAAGAGAGAGAGACAAGAGGGAGTAGAGACTAGAAAGAGACACTGGAGACTGGAGACAAGCACGTATTTTCTTTCAAATTAGTTTTTTTAACAGTATACATTCATTTAGAAGTTTACAAAATATCCATGCAGTTCCCCACTTCAGCCACAAGATGGAGGTGTTTCCCTACTCAAGATCTGTCCTTTGCACATTGTACAAGTTTTTCCACATAAGGCTGGGGGTACCTACTCTTACTGTTACGCTGCATTGCATGACTGTATAGGAAAAATCCCTGTGAGTCACTATTTGATGCTCCCGGTTGAGAGCTGGTACCATCGTTTTTATGTTTCTGTGGTTTCAAAGTTACGTACCGCAGCTTTAAAGCGAGACTGGCCTTTTTCATTAACAGCTTTTGATGATGATTTGGATTTTCTCTTTTCTAACAACAGAATCTCTGCCTGTTTGCCTCTCGCCTCCCTCCCTTTTGCTGCTCTCCCTCCACCAACCCGCTCTCCCCTCAAATCTCTCTCTCTCTTTCTCTCTTCTCTCCCTCACACATCTCTCTTCTCCCTCCCCTTTGCTCCTCTCCCTCATATCTCTCTCTCTCTCCTCCACTGTCTCACCACCCCTCTCCTCCCTCCCCTCCATCGCTCTCTCTCCTCCCTCTCCTTTGCTCTTTTCTCCCCTCACATCTCTCTCTCTGCCATCCACTGCCTCGGCACCTCTCTCCTCCCCCCCTTTTCTCTTTCTCCTCTTGCTTTCCCCCTCTCTCTCCTCTTCCTTCACCACCCCTCTCTCCTCCCCCTCCCTCTCTCTCTCCTCCTTCTCTCTATCCCATCTCTCTCTCACCTCTCTCTCTCCTCTTCCTTCACCACCCCTCTCCATCCCCCCTCCCCTTTACTCCTCTCTCTCTGCCCCCTATCCTACACTACCCCTCTTTCTCCTCCACCCCTCTCTCTCTCTCTCTCTCTCCTCTTCCTTCACAACCCCTCTCTCCTCCATACCCCCTCCCCTTTACTCCTCTCTCTCTCTCTACTGTCTATCCCACACCACCACTCTCTCCTCTCTCTCCCCCCCCTCTCTCTCTCTCTCTCTCTCTCTCCTCTCTCTCCCCTCCCCTCTTTCTCTCTCTCTCTCCTCTTCCTTCACAACCGCTCTCTCCTCCATCCCCTTTACTCCTCTTCCTCTCTCTCTGCCGCCTATCATACACCACCCCTCCCCTCCTCTTTCTCTCCTCTTCCTTCACAACCCCTCTCTCCTCCCCCTCCCCTTCCCGTTTACTCCTCTCCCTCTCTCTCTTCTGCCTATCCCACACCACCACTCTCTCCTCTCTCTCTCCCCTCCCCTCTCTCTCTCTCTCTCTCTTTCTCTCTCTCCAGCTCTTCTACCGCGTGACAGAGGACAGAGCGCGGCAGGCTGAGCTGTACTTGGTGGGCATGGTGTGCTACTACGGCAAGCACTACTCCACCTTCTTCTTCCAAACCAAGCTCCGCAAGTGGATGTATTTTGACGACGCGCAAGTCAAAGAGGTGAGAGGACCGTAAATATTCTTCTTCCTTTTTTTTTTGCTGCTCTGGCTTTGTGGAAAGGGAAGGTGGGGAGACAATCTGCTAACGGGACGGGTGACGTAAGAGTGGAACAGGGGGGTACAGTAGAGGCTGCAGATCTGAGTGAATACCTGGGGACGGCAGATGTAGGTTACTCTGCGGCAGTGCAGTAGTGTCCGTTTTTTTTGTGTGTGCCTTTGCTGCGATTTCTCATTCGGAAATTGAAACAGTTTGACGCCGTGCGGACTCGGGCAGGGGCTATGCGGTTAATCACGGCGTCTGCAGCTTGTTTCGTCCATTGGTTGTGAGGTTATTGCTCTAAAGAACACAAGAGATTATCGTCTTTTCTATCTATATCTGCGTGTTCTACCGGCTATTTCACTTTTACAGTCTTGTTATCGGTTCTACGCGTTCTCCTCGTGCCAGCACAAGCCTAACCTTGACCTGTGCGGCTTCACAACACATCTGCTTTTTATGTTATTGTATAAAATGTATGGTAAAATATACATAGTGTTAGTATTTTTGCCTGAGAATGTAGACAAAAACAGATGGATAGATGTTTAGATTTACACTTTATTAGTAAATCTTAGTAAATCCAATTATGTGCTGGTTCTAGAGTAGTCTTTTCTATATGATGTTATAATATATTATTTCTGTACATACTGAATCCAAATCGGTCTTGTTTTGAACTATTGTGACAGTGTTGATAGAAGATGTGACATTAGGGCTGCTGCAGTGACATGTGGACCTGGATGCGACTCATTGCCTCATTTTTGAATGGATAAAAACCCTTTTCTATTTTATATCAGTGATTGAAACAGAAAATATTATGCTTGCGATAATAGTAATAACAGTGCATTGGTTTTATGTATACATATATATCAATCTAGTGAAGGTTAAGTCTTTATTCATTGACCTTTCCTAGTGAGATTGCAGATGTCTCTTTTTTTAGGGAAGTCTCTCTGGCTCCTGGGAGTGAGGTCATGAAGGTGCTAGGGGGGACTATTTTGCATGTTATCAGTGGTAAGGGAAACCGGAGCACCTGGAGGAAACTTTAGCAGACACGGGGAGAACATGCACGCTCCACACATGGAACACAGAAGCACAAGCGCCATATTTACAAATCTGCTATATAATATTTGCTTGTCTTTGTGGATTACTGTGAGCGGAGAGACGCTCTTCACACAAGTTGGATAAATGTATATTATTGACAGATTTGGAACTGGGAAACTCATAAATAGAGCCGTCCAAAGAATTTTACATATTTTTGGGAAGAAAAGTATATAAATAGATATGTTGAATGGAGACAGAAGTTTAAACAGCGTAAAATAAAATAGAAAATTAAGTTAAAATAAGGGAAAAACTAAAAACTCAAGCTGATTGATCTGAGGGGACGGGGGGGTGTATTAGGGCTCTGTTTTTTATAAGAGAATAGTGTTTGATCATGGTTTAAAACTCGCATTTTTATTGATTTTAGGAATTTTCATATTTAGTTATCGTTGCAAAAATACCAGGAATGGGTTTGAAATGAGCACTGGGAAACGAGTGGCTGCTCTCCAAAGCACCGTGACGAGAGCTCTGGTGTTTACTATCTGGTGCCCACTGGGGTAGTCTTGCTCGGTTATTCCAACATGGTTTTACTGCAGATGGAAAATAAACTGAATCTTGAATCTTGAGATGCATTTAAATATGATATAAATGTCCCGATGTCCTTTGCCGTCTCCCAGCATCACATCCGTAACCTCCACTTGTGAATCAGTAGCAGCAGGTTCAGTCTTTGGCCTCATGGTGCCGTATAACAGAACGTTTCTCTCCATTTAGTGTTGAAGCTCTTTTGTCTTTTTGGTCAAATATTAAGTGATTTTTGATCAGTTTTTATCATTATTTCTTCCCTCTGAACATGTGGTGAACTCTGGTATTTTCTTGACTTTATTTTGGAATTAAGTTTTTTAAACTTATAAACATTAAACTTTTCTAAACATTCTACACTTTCTTCTCTCATCAAGAAGCTTTGCAACCTCATAAACTTTAGCTCCAGAAATTCTAATCAGAATATATTTTATGAAGTGTTTGATATTTTCATTTAAAATTATATTAAATTATATCTCTTATCTGTGTCCCCAGAAAACAGGTCACATGTACAACTCATATGTAACCCGTAAAGTGGAGTTATTATGAATTAGAAAATCTTTTGGGTTGCCATTGTTATTTAACTGGTTTCTGATTTTTTTTTTCTTTTACAACATTTTCAAAACAAGCACTCCACAGCACAGCACAAGTGAAAGGAGGTACAACTAATACATGTACAACAAATACATAAGTTGTCATGCATAATACACATAGTTTGGACTGTGTCTAGCTCGACTCCAGTAGGTGGTTTGCATCAGTAACCAGTGCTTAGAAGCTATATATGTCCCAGACAGAAAGGAATATTCTGGCAACACAAATGTGATTGTAATGACTTAATCAGACCCCTAAGAGCATAATTACATACTTCCCCTTTAAACTTAGACTTTCTCCCAAAATGCCCTTGTGTGTAATCTTACTAATCGCTCAGTCTAACCTCCAGGCCTTTCTGTGTGAAGTTTGCATGTTCTCCTTGTGTCTGCGTAGGTTTCCTCCAGGTGCTCCGGTTTCCCCTACCACTAAAGCATGCACAATCTTTCTGAATGTAATGAGTGAATGGTGTTGGGGGCTTTGATGCTCCAGTGTGAATGAAAACATTTCTGAGTTTTGGGTGACCTTGGTCTGTAAAATGTGCTATATAAATAATCATTACTTACTTACTTTCTAACCACAGAGTCTCCTGTCCTCCGCAGATCGGCCCCAAGTGGAAGGACGTTGTGTCTCGCTGCATCAAAGGCCACTACCAGCCTCTGCTGCTGCTCTACGCCGACCCCCGGGGGACGCCGGTGGTACTGCAGGACAGCCCCTGCTTCAGTCCACATCTGGAGCTCCACTGCAGCGCAAGGGCCGGCTACGACAGCGAGGACTCAGGTGACCAGGCTTTTCCACACTCTTGTTCTCGTGATATCAAACTAGAGGCAGCGCTGTACGGTCTGGTTGTGTGGTTGTGTGTTTGAATGAAAAAAATATGCGTTATATTGTGTTATCAGCGTAGGGAAATGTGTCCACTGCATTTGAACCATCCTTCACTTCCTCTCGGGCCTCTGTCAGGTCCTGGTAGTACAGCGACCAGAGAAAACCTACACTGACACAGGGAAAATATGCAAACTCAGGACCTTTTGTGCAGAGAAGTGAGAGAGCTAACCACTTTTATATTTAAAGAGACATTTATTTAAAGAAATATCCAATTACGAACCATTGCCATTTGAATTGGGTTTTAGATTTCTGTTTTGAGGCCAGGGTTATGTTCAAAGAGTGTGTGTGTGTGTCTGTTAGTGTGCGTGTGTGTGTGTGTGTGTGTGTGTGTGTCTGTTAGTGTGTGTGTGTGCCAAAAGGCCTGCATAAAGCTGCCAAATCAATCACCAAAAGGATTAAATTATATGATATTTATTGTCAGTACATTATATTTACCAAACATTGATAAGACTTTTCTGAAGCAATACATCAATCGTCAAAATGAGTTATTGTGACAGGCCAGTACAGATATATATATTTTCTCAAAAGAGGAAAAACATCCACTGATCGTTAACTTAATGAGAAGAGGAACGTTGTTTTTCTGCCCTGCCATTGACAGACAGAGCAGGGTCCGTCAATGTTATTACTACACTATTGTTTTGTTTTATTATTTGATGGTTTTTGTTTGTACTACGTCTGCAAACGACAAATAAAATACA